CGTCGCCATTGAAGTTGGGGAAACCGATCAATGGCAAACAGGTGGCGACGGCCATGAAGGACGGTACCAAACTTTGCCCCCAGTTTCAACGTGGAGGGTGCAAAGCCAAGCCATGCCCCCAAGGAGCCCACCGTTGCGCAGCGGTTATCAGGAAAGACCGAGTGTGCGGAGCTTTCAACCATGGGGCGGCCAACTGCACTGGCAAGCGTTGACACACCCCAGAAGAGGAGGCGGCTGCCTCTTTTGGGTCAGACGGCATAGAGCCGCAGGAGGGGCGACCTCTGATGGCGGATCTTATGGCGGGTCCCAATGCCCCCCTTACCAAAGCCTTTATCAGCTGTGGCTGGAGCTGCCTGACGGTAGATTGGTTGCTGGACGAGAGCCATGACCTCTCGGACGAGCGCAGGCAGCAATCTTTGAGCAAGCAACTTGAAGAGGTGATCTTCATCGCAGCGGCCATCGATTGCTCCACCAAGAGCCGAGCCAGAGAGATTCCCCGGAAGTTCGAAGATGGTAGGCCAGCACCTGGCCCTCTCCGTTCTGAAGTATACCCAGATGGCCTGCCTCACTTGACTGGCAGAGAGGCCAAAAGGGTTGACATGGACAACAAGGCATGCAACTATGTCTTGGGGGAGATCCAGAAGCTGAGAGACCGAGGTGGAGGCAGTGTACGAGAGAACCCTGCCCGCTCTTTGCACTGGTGGACTTCAGCAGAGGTGACTATGTGGGAGTCTGGACAATGGGTTGACACATCGTACGCAGCATGCACCTTAGGTGGCGCACGTTGCAAGCATCAAGTGCTGCGACACAATGTGGAGGAGATCCAGCGATGGCCCCCAGCCAACTGCCACCACGTACATGACCCACAAGAATGGACCCCCTACACATCTGATGGCGTAAGAGTTTACCCTTCCAAAGAAGAGGCAGAGTACACAGCAATCCTTGCTTTCTCCATTGCAGTCTCAGCCAGTTGGTGGGCAGTCCGTCGAGGGCTGGCCAAGTTGCACGTTCCTCGCATGCCCACATTTTTGGCTGTGGGGCGACGGGAGCATTGGTTGGACATGGACCCTCGTGCAATGCGAGAGTGGGCAATGGCACCTTTGGCTGTGACACTTGGGCTGACAGAAACCCTGCGAGCCGAACGACCGGGGTTACCAGTCAGGAAGCTCGTGCAGGACGTCATGATCGAGAAGAACAGGTTGCCACACCAGACGATCTATGTCGGGCGAGGCAGCTTCCACCATCGGTTGACGACGACCAAGTGGAAATCGCCTTGGACACCAGGCCACAATTGCGAGGCTGGAGAATGGCATGCACGGTACATTGTCCATATCCGCACATCGCAGTTGTGGGACGCTCTGCATGAGCTCCAGGGCATGGCCTTAGCGTGCGACTGTCCTATGGAACAACTTTGCGAGGCCGACCTTCTCATTGGACTCTACTTCGATGCCATGGCCCCTGGGGGCGACCCAGGCAGTAGAGGCACAGATGGCAAATGGAGCCGAGCAATCACTTTGCTGCAAGGTATTCAGGCGATCCCCAAAGGAGTAGCCCTACCCATGATGAGCCAAGAGGCAGTAGTGCTGGCATTTCGCAAGCTTTTCCCTGAGCATTGGTTCAGGAATTACAAGTTTGCGATGGTGGAGGACCTCATCAACAGCCCGCCGTTCTGTTCCTACTCAGCATGGCTGGCAGAGCGTGGTGAGGCTTGGGACGGTCCCTTAGTCCCCCACCTTGCTGCGGGGTCCGTGAGGCAACTGGCCCGAATTGGAGATGGATGCCAAGTCGGTGCAATGACGCACAAAGCAGCACTACCACCACTCCTGGCGTTCAACTTGGAGCCAGACGATCATTTCCAACAAGCCCTCCAACGGGCCCAGCGGCCGCTGCCCTATGAAGACCTTCCAGTCTCCGACATGGATTTGGAGTTCGTGGCCGATGCATATGCATCCCCGACCAAATCGCTGAGGCCGTGGAGGCAACAGGCAGTGGGAGCATTGCGCAAGCTGAAGAGACGCTGGGAGGGGGTGACCCGTCACTTGAGATCTTTTCAAGAAACTGCCGTGCAGCAAGTCACAAAACATCGAGACATGGGGCTCATAGCATTGTTGATGGTGTTGACATCCTGGGCTGACACTAGCTTCCCCTTTGGCTTGATCTGTGGTTTGCCGGCAGTGGGCTATGCGCCACCCTACGGAATTTTTCCCCAGCAGCCGGCTGAGGTGATCAGCATGGCAGATGTTTTGGATGGGTGGCAGGAGCACAACCAGCACATCCTGCACCAGTTGCGAGCAGGCAAAGATGATGAGTTTCTCTTGCAACAATCCATGGAGGATGCCAACAACGGGTTTTGCACCGCACCTCTGCGACGAGCCGAACTTTTGCGGCTCATTGGAAACCGAGCACATCGTTTGATCCCTCGTTGTGTCATCACGCAGAGCTCAGGCAAGCAGAGAGTGATCGACAATGGCGACACAGGAGGACAATCAGCCCTCTCCTCCGATGCCAACAAGCTCACCTTGTGCAGTCCTTTGCGTCCGGCCCAGCACATTCGTTTGGTGATGCATAGATGGACGGCAGAGGACGTCGACCACTTCCTCGCCAACGATGCCTGGGAGACAGGCCAAGAAGATCTACCATCAGCTTACCGGTATTGCCCCATGGCGATGCAGGAAAGTCTAGGCTGCGTAGTGGTGTGGTACCACCATGAATGGCAAACTCCAGCATATCAGGTCTATGCAGGCCTCCTTTTTGGGCTTCCGTTAGCGGTCACTTCATTCAACCGTTTTTCCCGGTTGTTGGAAGCTTTAGCAAGGCGTTTTTGCCAAGTTTTGACATCTCTCTACTTCGACGATGCGACCATCACAGACCTACGTTCGTCCAAAGGCTCCGGACAATGGGCCATGAACCAGCTTTGCAAGTTGATCGGCTCCCCCTTTGCCGAAGACAAGAAACAGTCAATGCAGAGCACAGGCACCTTTTTGGGCCTAACCCATGACCTCGACTGCATCAACCAGACAGGGCATGTCCGTTTTTGGGCTCGAGAACGTCTCCATGATAAAGTTCGTGACCTCCTCACTACGGCTAGAACTACAGGTCACTTCAGCCGTGGTACAGCTTCGAAGTTGTATGGTCTAGCGAATTTCCTGGAGCAGGGTATCTATGGCCGTGTAGGGTATGGTGGCCTGATGGCAATCAAAGCCAGACAGGATGAAACCATTACCTCGGTAACCCCTGAGATTGAAGCATGCTTCGAGGTGATCGAAGCAGTGATGCGCTTTCAGCCAAAACGGGAATTTCCCGTCTTTCACCTGGATAACCTGCGATTCCTTGCTGCTTCAGATGCCGCGGTGGAAGCTGACAATCCAGGCTCAGGAGGTTTTCACCTCATCTTTTTCCAGCCTGACGGATCCCAGATACGTCACAGTTTTGTAGCCAACAATTGTGCAGAGCTGCAGAAATTATGGCAGCCAGCAGAAACACACATCGCCCAGTTGGAGCTCTCGATGGTGCTGTATGCCTTAGTGGAACGACCTGACCTGTTTCGAAATCGACACGGGCTTTGGTTCCTGGACAATGTTGCAGCCGTCATGACGCTAGTGAGAGGACGTTCTAGCAATGCCGACTTAGCCAAGCTAGGTCATTTGATCCATCTAGCTCTGTTTGCACTGCGAGCCCAGGGTTACTGGGAGTACGTCCAGAGCAAGAGCAACTGGGCTGATGACATCAGCCGCCTCGGCGCTGAGGACCCATGGTGGCGATGCCATGGTTTTGACTTTTATTCGTCGTACCTTCCCACTATCTTTTTCCAGCTGCCTTTCGTCGCTGTCATTCTCACCTTTGAATTCCTATAGTGCTTTGGGGATTTTGAGTGCATTGGGTGATACCTGCTGAGCAGGTTCCAGCCTGGATCACCAGGCAGCTGACCAGTGGTGACACTGGTCTGAGGCTATGTACATGTCACAACGTGACGACCCAAAGCAAACCTGAGGATTGCAGGTGAAATGTGATTGACATTGGCATTGCTGTGAAAAAGGAAAGCTGCGGAAGAGCGAGTAGTATCGAGTTTCATATAACACTTTGAGATGTACCCATGCATCGAGTTTGGCAGGCTTGGGTGTGCATGTATCATCTTTAAGTGTTCAATGAATGCTATCATTTTGGCTCAAGTAAACTTGAACCAAAATAGCATTCATTGCTGTTTCTTTCCCCACCCTCCCAACCCTAAGAGCCGACCTCCCGTGGAGATGTCCGCCTAGGTTAGGGGAGCCTGCTTGGCAGGCGAGTCCATAGCCTCTTCTGGGGATTCTCTCTTGGGGTGACCAAGAGAGTTTTACCTTCCCTTAGGTTAAGGGTTGGGTGATACCTGCTGAGCAGGTTCCAGCCTGGATCACCAGGCAGCTGACCAGTGGTGACACTGGTCTGAGGCTATGTACATGTCACAACGTGACGACCCAAAGCAAACCTGAGGATTGCAGGTGAAATGTGATTGACATTGGCATTGCTGTGAAAAAGGAAAGCTGCGGAAGAGCGAGTAGTATCGAGTTTCATATAACACTTTGAGATGTATGTATATATGTATATATGTATATATGTATATATGTATATATGTATATATGTATATATGTATATATGTATATATGTATATATGTATATATGTATATATGTATACATGTATACAACATGTATATGGTTGATATTTCTATATAAACAAAATATATCTTATATGTCTGGGATGATGGTTCATTTAAAATCAAATTTTGTTTACTGTATTTAGTATTCAACATGTATTTAGGGATCATGATCATCTCATATGTTCAGATATAGTTTGGGTGATTAAAATTTCCACAATTTGTTCGCCAAATTGTTTTTTTTTGTACCTCTAATAACTAAGACTTATGATGCATATATAATCATATATTTATAGTTAACGGGGGATAAACCAGAACTTAGCGATTCCAAACTGACAGACCGTGGATGACATGGTGAATCTCAGCCAGGACGTCAATGGTTTCTCAGCCAAGGGAGAAACTCCTGCGATGTTGGCGGCAGCTGCGGGACATGCGGAAACCTTGAGACGCTTGGAATTGAGGAGTTGATCTCTCAAGACCGGGGAAACGTGTGGAAAGATCTAGAATGGGTGTTGTAATGTGGTTAAAACAATGCCATAAATCATCCCCGAGTCATTACCATTTTTATAGGTATAAACCATTCCCAGTCATGGTTGGTTTATGGCATTGTTTCACCCACATTATATACCCTCTGGTAAACTAACATAACTATGGAAAATCACCTCTGGTATTCATGGGAAAGTCCACGAACTTTCTATGGCCATGGTTTCAATAGCTATGTAACAAATTACCAGAGGGTAATACACCCTCCGGTCATCAAACATGGCAATTTGAAATCCCACAATAGATGGATTTTTTTTGTCGGAAAATCATCTAAGTCTATACGGAATTTTCCTCTGCCATGTTTGATTAGTGGAAGGTATATGTTTATGTGCTATATCTATATATGGTCCATATATATATATAAGTAGTTTTCCTCCTCAACCCACCAGTTTGTTTCAACTGTAGAACCCAGGAAAAGATAGATACAGACACTTTTGGATTCCCATTTAGGATATCAAGTCTGACAAAATTACAGCAAACTGTTCGTTGTTCGCCCAAACAATCGCAAATCCAAGGATACTTGATGCGAAACCAAGCAGATGTGGCGCGAAAGAGCAGATCTGGACTTACAGCTTTGGACTTCGCCGCAAGAAACGAACATCCAGAAGTGGTGCGAGTGCTGCGAGATCCATTCTCCCGCCTGGCATGAGAAAAAAAGGTCATTGTTGACAGCTTCCAGCCTCCATAAAAATTCATCGTGCAGCATCAGCAGCAGCAGCAGCATTATTTAACATGCAATAATAATGAGACTTGTAATGAATAGTGGTATGAACAAAATCAAATGGTTTGCTTGATATTCGCCCCGTTTTTACTTTAATGAAAAGTAGTCAGAATCATAATCATAATGACAACAATGATCAGAACAATGCCACTTATGAAAATGGAATTGTTTAGCAGCTTAGCATAAAATAACAATTTTGTGTCATGGAATAGCAACCCCTTAAAATCGTGATTGAACAGCGAGAACCATGGAAATATGATAATGATATGTGATTTTTAAGATATTAGAAGATGTTATGTTTCATATTTATTGGTCGTATGTGATTATCGTGTTTTCCTATGTTTTTCCTACGTTTTTTGTGAAGGTTGCTATGGGTTGAAGTCACATGTCCACCCCCGTCCCAGGACTCGGGATGCAGAAACGCCACGACGGCAGATGGCCCGCCGCGCGTTGAGAGAAAAGGGTTACCCGCGTCGCGGAAGTGAGGTGTGGTAAATTTTGTAAATGCACATCATGAAGTCATGATATCTTGGAACTTCATAAGTAATACTTCAACCAGATGTTTTTTTTTTTACTATATCCCATAGTTTACTAAATTTGCTAATGTTGGTAAAACAACAATAAACCATCCATGACTGGGAATGGTTGGAATCGCACCTATAAAAATGATTAAAAATGGTGATTTCAGGGATGGTTTATTATTGTTTTAGCCACATTAGTGAATTGGGGAATCTATGGGAATATATGGGATAAACTGAACCATGGAGACATGATGGGCGATAATGGGAATGTTTACCCCTCTGGTAATTTGTCATACAGCTATGGAAAATCACCATTCTCAATGTGCATGTTAAACCGAACCTTGATTGCAGAGTATCTAAGATTGGTCATGTTGATGCCATATATGGGTTCAGACCTTCTAATGATTGAAACGAAGCCCGTTTCCAATGCCAGCATCCATGGCTTCTGCCTGGTCCCAGCGTGACGGGTTTCGGATAAGAATGACATTGTTACAAGGAGAGGACTCCCAAGGTTTTTAAACTCAGTCACTATAGATATATCTGCAATAGAAGATAAACCGGTAAACCATGCTTAAGCTAGATATGAACCAACTTAGCTATCGTTTGGGAGCCTCAAGCTTGTACCGCATTGGGTCAGCGTCTTCGACAGGTGAACTTGATGAGCGAGGAAGTGAAACTGGCCGAAGAGAATGCTGCTCAAAGTCAAGAGCTGGCCAATGAGGCTGGTGGACCAAAAAAAAAATTAGGGATTTCTATGGATTTCCTATCCCCCTAAGGGAGGTAGGGGAAAGGAGTTAGGCATCACGATTGGACACTACCACTGATGTGCAAATGCCGAGTGTTTCCCTAGCAAAATGGAGAAGTCCCAACAATTATCTGACACGTCAAAGAAAACTATTAAGCAATACTAAAATGATTTGCCCTTCGGCAGACATGGCTGGACAATCCCGCACTAGCCATGGAGCAAATCATGTCTGATGAAACCGGAGGGTACTTGGTGGCCCATCCCACGAATCGTGTTTGTGGCTTAGTTCATCCCAGTTATGGATTAACTCTACTTATCCCATTCAACACTGGAATTATAACTGGAGCTATAACACTTATTACCCTCTGGTAAATTAACATAGACCCTGGCAAATAGGACTTGGAAGATTAGTTTCCATTAAAATTTGGTTATTTTCAGATTTTCAGGGTCTATGTTTACTTGCCAGAGGGTAATGTGTAATAATGTGTTTGACCGCAGTTGATTAGCCCAAAAAACGGTCACTAATATAGGGGGTCAAGCCTCGAAGGGCGGAAAAAACGGGATGATCATGCAGCCATACATATATATATATATATATTCATATATATATATAAATCATTTATATCATTCTATATCCATATATGGTATGTTCGCTGGTTCTTCGGAATATTCGCTGGCTTGTCAGCACGTGCCTTCTTTGTTTGCGATGCGGGAACTCAGGGATATCATAAAGAATCAAATGTCCAATGGCATTGAATGGCTACATTCCCAATTTTTAGTGGTTGTTGAAGTCAACTAGACGGTTGGTGCATTAGCATTGATAATTGGAAATGTATGGTACTGCAGTACTGCATTCTTAAATTACAGAAACATGTCATTGTCACGTTTCAATACATTTGAATTCCCCATTAGTTGGTTGACATATCCCAATTTCAAGAAAGTATTGAAACTCACATTTCAATGGATGTCAGTAGGGTTTTCATATATTCCCAGGATTTGTTTGGTCATTGTTAGGCGATGCAAAAGGCTAAAGCAGCAGAACGCGCACTGAGCTCTGAAGTACACAGGAGAGACGTCAGTTTTGGGACACTGGAAGTAGTGGATGTTCATCCTCCAAAGTATGGTATACACCATAAAAAATGGGCAGATCAACCAGTATATAATAAACATAAGATACAAGGTACAAGCTGGTGTCCCAGTGAGCTAAATCGCTAAGTTTGTTGATCACTTTTATACCTACAATCACTCGGGTGTATGATACACATATCGAGCTGTAAGCAACGGATGGTCGTCCTCCGCATCCCAGATTCCCGGATAGGATCTGACTTATAACCTGTATATAAACCACGTAAAAATTGTGTTTGTTTATATGTTAAAATCTGGTTCTTACCCACTCAACTGGGATGTATGTACCCCCAACTAGGGAGAATATATTATATATATGTGTGTTTTTTGAGTCCTAAAATGAATGGGCGGCACCCTTACACTGGCCTTAAACATGATTAAATTATATGGATGATGGATGAGGATGAGGATGATGATGATGATGATGATGATGATGATGATAAGCCATCAATTTTGAGGTACCCTATTTTCAGACCAATATTGACCAATACATCTAATATGATATGTGTATATACAAAGGGAAATCTTGACCAACCATTAGTGGGATTCCACCTGACACGGTATCATTGTTGATCAGATATAATCGGTTTGAGCGGTAGATATCAATGGATATGAGAGGTTTTTAGTACCGAGAAAATTGGGGTATGGAGATTTAACAGGGATATAGACAAGTTTATACCGGTTGCTACTGCCATCCCCCCAACTAACCAACATGAGGGTACAACTTGTATAATAATGTGTATATATATATATATATTGCCAATACAATTTGAGCTTGGTTTTATGTGTGTTTCTTCCTTTCAAGAGGAAAGTAATCTGTCAACCCTTGTTTGTGTTGGTCGATAGTCGAAAAAAATCCATGGCAAAGCGCCTTTTTCATCCTCTGCTAATCTTCCCAACATGTGACGGGTGCAGGGACCAAAAATGATCAAATATGGGGATTGCAAGAAGCATGGGACTTGAGCACACAGCGGGAGTTGATCAACCACTTTTACCGTGGAAACAAGAAAGCCTGGGGCCTTGAGCTGGCACAATACATACTGATGGAACAATCCTGCACCAGTTGGTAGGTGGGTAATCCCATTAGATTTAGGGCTTCAACATGTTTCAACCATCCAAGGGGGTGCACGATTTCCCGACCATCCACAGTATGTCTGTTTAGCACCCGTGATGCCAGGATTCGACAAGCCAACGAATAAGCAGCTGTGAGGACGCGAAAAGTTTGGCTCGGGGTCAAGGTTTTGAACTGCTAAAGCCACAGGGAGATGGCGAAAATGTTTGGATGGGATTTTTTGTTCGCAACTTTGACCCGTAGCTGTCATACTGGTGTAACTTGTCCATTTTCTGTTTTCTTATGGGAAAGAAACTTGACTTTTCGTTTGCTTCAAATTGATGTACAAGGGCCATTTCGATCCATTTGGGTGTGATCTCAACGACTGCAAAGCTGCAGCCAGTTACACAGTCGCCAACCTTCATGTTCCAGCCTTAGTTGGGACGATGATCCCGATTGACTAAGATTGGTGAAGACAAGTTGAGACCAACCAGTACCCGCAGTGAAGGAGTTGGGGAAACCTTGACCCGTAGCCATTTGGGCATCCATGGACCATGAAGCGATGTGAAGCGATGCAAAAAGACCTGCGGCAACCCTGGAAGAAGGTTAGATATTTGATTCTGGAGCAGAGGGATTCAAAGGTTCTAGTAGCAAACTCTCAGCGATCCATATCAAAACACATTGATCAGAGAAGCAAATCAGCAGGGCTCTGGAAGTAGCAGGGCTAGAGGTGGTGAAATACACATGTTTAAGATATTGTATATCAATGGCTTCATTGAGGCACATTTTAAACAATATAGTTTATATGTGTATACTATTTCGTCGATGCACATTTCCATGTGGAGATTGCTCGCTACGTGCTTGTGTGTTTAATAGTATATTGTAATATGTTTGTTTTGTTTGATGTTTTGTATGATCTCCAGATGCCCTATGCCGTATACCTCCTACTATTTGTATGCTCACTTAGAGATAGTAGATCACATATATATTATATATATAATATAATATATATATATATGTACTATGTACATATATATATATATGATATAGTGTCCATATAGTTAGTTGCTCTTGTATGATTTATCGTTTGGATAGCCGATCATGCAGCAACATCCACGAAGTCAATGGGTCTTTGCGGCATGTCACCTTAAGAATCTTTAAGATACATGCCGATTTAAGCCACCAGCATGTAGAAGTTGAGTAGACCCCAAGATCTACGGGTATTCCCAAACTTGTTTGAAGAGAAAAAATGCAGCAAACCCTGATATTTGATGGTAGAACACCCAACAAAACCAATCCATTGAGGTATCCCATGTTCAGACAAAGCCACATGAGCAGTGTTGAAAACCCCTGTTGGTGAATTGTTTTTAGGCTTATGCTATCCAATATATTATGGGGGGATTATCACAATGCTGTTGACCAGCCTCTTTTCAGAGGGACGACGGGACGACGTTGCGGGTTTTGAACACTGCTCATGTGGCTTTGTCTGAACGTGGGATACCTCTATGCCATTGAGTTTTGTTGGGCGTTCTACCATCAAATATCAGGTGCGTTCACTATCTTTCACTGAGGTCAAGGGTTCGAACCTGTGCGGTTCAGCTGGCCGGTCGCCTCTATGCTACCCATGGTGGGATTGCTGACGTTTGCTGTCGATTGCTGGGTGGGTGGCTAGGGCCCAGGATGGCCAAGTAGTCCTTGTCCCCCAATAAACATGGTGCTTCAACCATGAGAAACGTTTGTTTCATAGGCTTTCATATGGTGAAAAGCCATGTTGAACCGTTATAACCAGCCTGACATGGGGATAGCCAAATTACTGCAGGAAAGCCTGGCTGGAATCTATGGGATCCCATAGATTTCACCCAGTGCTGACACCATGCATTTAGCGTTCCCCCAAATGGGGAAGAGATTCCAGAGCATTTTCATTCTCCACTTTGAGCAAAAATTGCAACTGCAATCAATCTGTCTCCATGTTTTTTTTAGACCTGGACCCCCCTATTTTATCTTATTGTCCCATGTTCATCTCATGTTCTGTCTCGATTTGTTTGGCGCAATTCTTGAATTCTTGTCCCAAAGATTTCGCAAAAAGGCCGCCATCTGAATCTTCAGTGCAGGTCCAGAGGTCATGGAGCCGATACTTCAGAAATTGAGACCTGCAAAGCAGGTGCGTTGAAACAACACAGCGCATGTTTAACTTACTGGTGCTAAACGTAGGGAATGGATGGGTTGCTGGGGGTTGCTGGGGGGGGTGCCGGGATGATTATTGATAGTTAGCCAGTAGATCATTCCTGAAAATTCCCTCATTCCCTGCGTTTAGCACCAGTAAGTCAATGGTGGCCATGTTGTTTCCCTGAAATAAGTGTGACATTGTGTGACAGCAGGGGTTCACCACATGATCTCTACTTCTAGATCGATCATCTATAAGAGGATTTGGCATAATCCATGCTGTGAAGAAATTTGATAGTTGACCGCTATAAGATGGGGAAGATATTGACGAAAGCTGGGAGAAACAAATCAGTCTCCATGTGGTTGTCAGAACATGGTCCTCGAAACCTGATGGTAAATCACCATTTTTCCGCTTCAAATGGCAGGGAGGTATACGAGGTATACTGGTTGGTGGTTTGGAACATTTTTTATTTTTCCATATATTGGGAATAATAGCCCCAACTGACTAATATTTTTCAGAGGGGTTGAAACCACCAACCAGTTCACATTTTGGCTTTGGAGGAAGAGTCCTATCACAGTCCTAGAAGAGCTGCTGATAGAAACATGGATTTTCCCTGTATCATGTCACTTTGTAACTGGTCAGTTGCACTCTGAATATCCATTGAATTCGCTCACAAGAAGATGCTGAAACGTTGGACACCTGGAGGTTCGTGGCTGTTAGATGCTATCACTTCTCAAATAGACCACGTCCTGAACCCACGTCAACCTTAAGGAAGGTTTTACCCTCTGGTAATTTAACATAGCTATTGAAAATGGCCATTTATAGTGAGTTTTCCCATTAAAAATGGTGATTTTCCATAGTTATGTAAACGTTTACCAGAGGGTACCACATCCCATCCCTATTTTTTAAGCCACAAAAACAAGTTGGAGATATATGGAAATGTGGCTGAAAGATCAACATCTCTCAAACGATAGAATCCAATCCAACATATCCACACCCACACCTACGTCTATACCTATACCTATAGCCGCTATAGCCTATAACTATAAGTATCTCTATATCTATATTTATTGTTTGTATAGTATGTATTATACATATATATATACTGTATATAGTTATATGTATTTATAGTTATATATATATAGAGTTCTATATATATATATAGTTATATATATAGTTATATATATATATATATAACAATATATATAATAGTGTTTACCAGGTACAGCGTCACCATATCTAGTGCGGTATACCTATTCTCAGAATATTAAATATAGATACATACCTACTAGTATATATTAAACAATATATGTATCTATATTTACATCTGCGGAATATTGCTACCATGTTTCACCAGCAAAAAAATCGCTGTGTTTCCGCTGTTTTTTTTGTTTGGCTTCGACGGCAGGCCTTGCTGAGGAGTAAATTCCAAGAGATCGATGAAGACGGTGCTCCCGACGAGGAGACGGTGACGGTCAGATCACGGTCAGTTGTGGTAGAACCAACGGGGAAAATCGATGATTTTTGAGCCCACCATGGGGAGAAAAATGAGACAGTCATAATTAGAATCAATCAGAAGGTAGGAATTATTGATTACAAATGATTACAATACATCTTAGTCATTTCCAGCTGGGAATCGCGAAACTGATTTATATGCTATAGTTCACCTGGGTGTATGGTATTGATAGTAGATATATGGAGCTATAGTTAAGTGAGTTTAGAAACCAACAAACGTACAAAGGGGGTATCACATTGTAGGGGTTTGCCATGTTCACAACCAATAAATGCAAAGATAAAGTGCTGTTTATAATACTTGGTTGTGTTGAAAGGTTTAACCAAACAGACGTACCAAACAATACATGTTTAGGTTTGTGTTGAAAGGTTGCAGCAAGAATGCTGTTTAATACGTCTACACGTCTTGACCGTCTTGACCCTTTTTTAATGGGACTTTGCTGAGCACATTTTCGGTGAAGCCGATTCTTGGAAGGTTTCACGGATGAAATTTGGCAATCCCCATCCCAAAGATCCAGAAACATGTCACGGGATGAAAAATATGAAAATCCGTTTACCAGCTGTGTAGATGTTCACAAGCATAGGAACTCTTTTGATTCATAGCAAGAGTTATCATTTCTTATGATCTATCCCCAATTGCTTTGTGGGTTTGAATCATCACTTAAAAAGAAGTGGGCTTAAGATTTTAATCGTTACTTAAGTATTTTAATCGTTACTTTAATCGTTACTCCAACATTCTCCCACTACATGATGCTGATCCCAAGCAGTTCATAGGACGATGCCGAAGAAGGAGAAGAAAGGTCGTCCGGTTCAGTCGAAAACATGTGGAGGGTTTAGTCGACATCGGCTCAAGGCTACAGGGGGTTGGGGCTGCTAATTAGCAGCGTTCGTGACTGTTTTATCTATGAGAGTTGATAAGTATGTGATTGTGCCTACAATGTAACATATATACAGATACATATCACCATCATCATCATCATCATCATAATCATCATCATCATCATCAGCATCAGCATCATCATTATCAATATATACGCACATATATACACATATGATTATGTATTGTCCGCAGCGACTTTCCCATCTGCAAGCTGTGCGGAAAACTATATTGAAGCAAGCAGAAAATCCCTCATACATATATATATATATATATTTAGATATAATTATACACATATATATATATATCAACATATTATTTGCGTATGCGGGTATTAGGAACATGTTTGAAGAGGTGGCTTTGCCACAACGATGTTTGATGGCCAGAGTGTAGCAATTTGCTAATAAAATTGCAGGTTTTCAATCTGGTTACCTCCGTGTTTTTGATCCCTTGCAAGCCATTGAAAGTCACAACAAAGGCCTGATCTTGACGGCTTCCTCATCGGCCATGCTCCCGCCCGGAGTCCGGGGAAGGGCTCGGAGATGAAGCCTCCAGGACAGCCCACCGTATGTAGTAATGTTTAGTGAAGCAGATCATCAAAAACTGAATATCCAATTATATTTGGGATTATGTCTATCGTAGATATTTTTTAAAAATATCAAGGGTAATATCCAAGTAATGTTTAGAGTTGGGGTTATGTCTTATTGGGGGGTGGTGATCATTTGCCCAAATTTGCGAAAATGGTTCCGGCGGTGGCAGCGGAAGTGGAAGGGAATGGAATCCACCAGAATTTCAATGCAGAATTTCCATGTTTGGTTCATTGCTGGCTCGCAGCTAGCTTGTAGTCCCATCTAAGTAGGATACAACAGGGATATTATCAACATATATCTGTTACCCTCCCAAATAGTTGGAAACCATTTCACAGTTTCAGTTATATATATATATATCATGATCATCTGCTGAATGGTGGCTTCGTGAACATGTAATATATCGTTAACTGGGATCGTGATCCTCAACGACTTTCCGAAGCCTCACAACTCGGAGCTTGGAGCTTGGAGCTTGTCGCTGAAAATAATGCCATCGGACTACGGTGGTAACTTACGTCGTAACCTATCCATATCTATCCATATCTACCTAGTTAAGCCTAGTTAAGCCAGTGAATCAATCCAACTGAGCTAATGAACTGGGGTCCGGACGGCTTTGCAGATATCCATAACTATAGGATTTATGGATCTAATGGGCTTTGTAAAGCAACTTATGGCTGGGATATCCATAGAGCCAAGGGCGGTCGATGATTCGCTGATCTTGTGTGTGTCGCTTGCTAGGGCATGTCTGTTCCACGTGGCAGTTTTGACTCTCAGTTCTGAATTGTGGCTGTGTTGCTGGCCATGAAGCCATGGGAAAGCGGTTTGGGCAGAGTCCAGGTGCTTCAATTGATGAAGAAGCTGGATTTTTGTTGCCCAGTATACTCTGAAGATATCTCTTGGGTTGTCAAATCTGTTACTTCAGAATGGATCAAAAGTCATTGTGTTGAGCCTTTGAATTCTGTCAGATCTGTGAGATCTATCAGCCTAGAGCACTCCATGTCGATGAGTAGCTCCATCGAGGATCTTTTGTCGAAGGCAGGGATGTCACTTCTGAGTTTTGAGTTGCGCATTGGGAATTCTTTACAATTAAGTTAAGATATATATATACATAGCTGTCCACCAATAGATAGCAAGGGATCTCAATAGTATGTTGGGTCAGTTTTACGCTTTGGTATATTTGGAACCCAATCAGAATCGTGGCTGCTGAAGCAGGTTTATTCACATCGCACACTTTGGATTGGCTCTGTTGGCTCACGATGCATTGCTTATGGTTTTCAAACTTTGCATAGATTGTTGTCCAAACAAGTACACAGTATGTTTGTATGTGGTCTGTTGCAACCTTCTTAAAAGGTGGTTTGAATCCATTTTGTTCCATTCCATTCTTGGAGCTCCAATTGTTCTCAACAGGATCCTTCAGATGAAGATCTCGATGAGTGGTGCCTGGCGTTCAATAGCATTCACAGCGCAGGAGGACGTTGATAGTGTCGACCCCGGATGAAGAGGTTGTTATGATGAATGTGTTTCCGGAGTGTTGTTGGTGAGTTTCCCTGTTTTTGTATATGTGTGTGTGTCAATCCCGGCAAATCATCACTATCTCCCTTGAACGGAGTACAAATCCTGATCAAGTGTTTTTTTGCTCCAAAATCCCCAATCGTTTGTTGATCTATTGATCCATAGCCATAAACTGAAAATCACGCAATTTGGTTCAATGATGTTCCTGCCCAAAATCTGATTTTGCCAGCCAGCCAGGTTGGATCCCAGAGGGTGCCTGAAATCTACCCTTTCAATCATATTTGGTAGATTTTGGTAGTATTGGTACCATGAGATCTCCGATTTTTCCTGATCAAATCATTTCAGATCCTGGAAAATACCTGGTGATTAAAACAGCTTCAAGCCGCCAAACATAGTGTGGCCTCGTACTATATCACTAAGATATACTAATAATCATGTAGCTCAAAAACCCATCCAGAATCAGATATGTACATAATATATATATATATATACATATATGTATATATGTATATATACACACATATAATCATATAATATATACATGATATATATATATATATGATAAATGTCGCTTGCATCTCATTTCGATGATCTGAAAGCCACCTGAAACACAACGAGGCTCCGCTTCCGCGCCGCCCGTTGGTGCCGCGAGCCGCGCCTCGTCGCGGCGCAGCTGAAGATCGCGGCGGCGGCGCCAAAGGTAGCGCTGCAGCTGTTGAAACGGATGCAGGTGAGGCTTGTCAGTGGAAGATAGGGGAAATCCATGGGGAAATCCCTGGGGAAATTGAAATCTATGAGGATTTTTTTGAAATCTCTTGGGTGAACAATAGATTCAATAGATTCATACACATGTTCTGGGGGATTGATGTAAATTTTGTAGCTCAGGGTAAGAGTCAGCTCTTCATCCATTGATATTCACCATGGAATGATCTGGGAAGCATGGGGACTCTACTTGGAGGCTCCTCCAAATCGTAAATGGCCAAGAATAATATTTACTGGTTGGTGGTTTGGAACATTTGGATTGGTTTCCCATATATTGGGAAGAATCATCCCAATTTACCCTCTGGTAATTTAACATAGCTATTGAACATGGCCATTTATAGTGAGTTTGCCCATTAAAAATGGTGATTTTCCATAGTTATGTTATGTTTGTTATATTTTTCAGGGGGGTAGGTCAACCACCAAGCAGTTTATAGATGGGATAACTGCATCCACCTATAGAGGGTCTCAACAATGAGGAAACGTGGGGATTAAACCAAGAAGAGTTAGGGATTTAACTATATACCCTCTGGTTATGACTAACATAGCCATGGTATTGATGGCCCATAGAAATAGATGGTTTACCGAACTTAAAAATGGGGATTTTCCATGGCTATGTTAAATAACCAGAGTGTAATGGTTGTTGTTGCAATTTGGAGGATCATCAAGTGGCTCGTAAGTCGTTCATTTAAGCATGCATGGTTATAATCCATTTATAGATGTGATAACCCACTGTTCTCAACCACAAAAACTATGTGGGATGATCCTCCAGTAACCATCCAAAGCATGGGTTTTTCTGCAGGACTTTTTTCATCAACACTGGGGGTTTAGCAGTGACCCAACCCAACTTGATCAACTGGGGATGGTTTATCAGTGGGATGGTTGTGATATTAGCAGATACCCAATCATCTTCGTAGAAATGGGACGATGTTCAAACTAAGAGAGTTACCCTCTGGTAAACGTTTACATAACGAACTGGAAAATCACCATTTTCAATGGGAAAATCCACGAAGTAAATGGCAATGTTCAATAGCTACGTTAGTTTACCAGAGGGTAACCTTAGGAACTTATGAACTGGGGATGGGGTTTACCATCAACACCGGGAATCTTATGGGCTAATCAGCTGAATGATCAATGACTCAAAGCATCCCTTAGGGCCTAATGGCAGAAAAGACTTGGTAGACCATGGGGAAAGATACATGAATAAACATTTGATCATTTGAATATATACTGTTTAATGGTGATGGCAGGTTAGGTTCTCGGCTAGGGAATCCCTTTAGGATGGGGGAGACGACATGTTCCGTTCATGGCCATCATGGGATCACCAAAACTCCAAGAGTCGACGGTGGATGGTGCGAAATCCGATAAACCACCAAAAGGATGGTTGAAACAGTGAAACCCGAAAAAAAAAAAGGGATGTTTACCACCGTTTTCAACCTATCAATTTGGATTTCCCTGGCCCTGCAGTAGGAGCCCATGAAAAAAGATCCGTTTGGCTTCAACTGAGGTGCACTCCATTGAAGCGAATGCCTTCCATGTCAGTGCTGTCTTGTCTCTTGATGACGTCAACAGTTCTGGTTGGTGAAGATTATACGCAATAAAATGTACAACATCACAATATCATCTGGTTGGTGGTTTGGAACATTTGGATTATTTTTCCATATATTGGGAATGTCATCATCCCAACTGACGAACTCATATTTTTCAGAGGGGTAGGTATACCACCAACCAGTCATGATATCTTGGAACTTCATAAGAAATACTTCAAGCAGTTCTTTTCCTTTTTAATATATCTCATAGTTCACAGTCTCACACAACGAACCTATCTCATAGTTTACTAAATTTACTAATGTGGGTAAAACAATAATAGATCACCCATTTGGGAATTGTTGGAATCCCACCTATCAAAACGGTGATGACTGGGGGATGGTTTATGGCATTGTTTCACCCACATTATACATATTCCAGTTGACATATTTTATGATTGTTTTTATGGTTAACAATGGTTAATAATGGTTAATAATGGGATAACATATTATGAATGTCAATTGACCATTATTCACCACTATTAACCACTATTAGCCATTATCCTATTAACCCTTATTAACCAATATTAACTAATAATGCTTCATTCAACTAGATCCTCCGGCCATTTCCTGCGCCGCTTTGAGGAAAGCCATGGAGATCTCGAAATGGCCCTGGACCTTGCGACTGCTTCAGGACTTGCCCCAGATCCAGGTGATCCCCAACGAGCCCCGGCCATGGCGGCGCGGCCATGCGGCAATGGCGAGTAACCAAGAAATGTGGAGATCACCAGGTGAAAACATGATGAAGATGTGGATTTCACGATGGTTTCATATATATATATATATATGTATGTATTATATACACATGTATGATATATATATATATATGTTATATATATATATATACATGATATTGTATATAATATAATTCAATACAATTTGATATGTTTTTAATGATTTCACCAGCCGAAAAGTATGGATGTAACTTGATGTAAGCAAGAAAAAATGGGGATGTGAGTTGATTTAGTCAAAATGAAATGGAGAGATCATGAGCCCACAAAGGAGGACATCATCACGGGTTGCGTGTTTTTAGCCGAATAAATTTACGATAATTTACATTTGGGCCAGCCCAAAAACCCAATAGTCTTGGATTCATAGTTGACCACACCGGTCAAATCCTATATCTAGATGATGAGTAACACTGTAAGTGAAAAAACATCCAAAATGATGCAGAAAGAATGTAAAGAAAACCAGGTCCACGATGTGTGTCAAATATTGTAAAGATGCGTAAAGCTTGGATTCATCGTTTCACATCATCATTTCACATTCACCACGGATTCTACCGAATGAACGTTGATCCATTGGAGACGCCAACTTATTTTGATACCAATTTTACCATGGCGAAGCATATTTCGGCGATGCATATTTCAAGGTGATTCAAAACAAATATCCCAACAACTGGGATCCATCATCATGGCAGCCAAACGTGGTGTGTTTATGTTTTGTCACCCTTGACCTTGGTCCACAGAAAAAAGCGGCCCGATCGGAATCCCTCAAAATCCCGATCCCGGTGTCCTAGGAATTTAGCTACAGCATTGTCGCTTGGAAAAGATGGGCCGTTCATGGAACGATGGGGTTAACTGGCTATCATCCCATCACTCGTCAAAAAATCCGATTCTGAATCGTTACTTTTTTGGTCGTCCAGATATAAAAAAGAGTGAGGAAAAAGACGTTGCTTAAATGGCGATTCGATGGTGAAACTCCAAGAATTCTGGTTTAATGTTTATGTCATACTTATCACTACAGTTTTAATGGTGCGTTTAAGCTTGTTAAAGCCACTTAAAACTGGGGGAGCCCACATTGTGCATGTATGTTGAGCTTCACTTTGGATTCGGATGTGCTATTCTTTAATCGTATCTCTATGTTGATGATAAACCCGTAGCTTGCCCATCTAACCTAGAATAATCAAACATCTACTGAGGTTGGCCTAAATACTGTCGCTAAGTCTGGAGGTGGTGAATTATGATGTGTAAATACATTCACTTGATAGGTCCATTCCCACTAGATCTAATACTAATATTAACTATTGTAATATATATATACACACAACACATATATTAGATGTATAACATTGTTCCTATTTGAATAATATCATGCCCATTCACTATTAATATTGTACATATATCTGCACATGTGAGAAGCACTGGTTTTTATTTCATGTCCCTTTCGGGGAAAAATATCTTCACATCACCTTCAAGGAAGCCCCAGTATTCCGTGACCCTAAAAAAGATAGCTCTGATGGATTAATGATGGTTGAGGGGGCTATACTCAATGTATCTAAATGTCTCAATGGGGATCATTGCAACCCATATTTCACTAGACCCTCCAAAGGCCCGTTAAAAAAGTACAACAATTATGGGGTACGACACCATTGTTATGGCTACTTGGAGGGTCTAGGTGTGTACTAACCAACCCGTGTACCAGTATCAGTAGAATATACTAATTATCAGATATAGCATAGTATAATAATATACTAACAATCATAATTTTACTCATAATTTCTAATGATATGATAACAAACTATAATAATACTTGGTGGCTCATCCTACTCAGTAAGTTGGTTATAACATGGTGTTATAACCCCAGTTATATGTGGATTGACTCTATTTATCCCATTTTTTAGCTGGGCTGAACTAACCCACAAACACGATTCGTGAGATTCTCGCCAAGGAAACTATGATGATGATACAATGCAAGTACTGGTACGGGATGATAATGGATTGTATACATAGTTTCATGGATGATTCATGGATGATTGATGCATGAATGGATGATTAAGCCTAGTAGGCTATGATGATCATACATTTTTTAATCATTTTTTACATAGTTTATAATCATCATATACCATTGTATAATAAGGTATCCATTTACCCTATTCACGATTCACTCTAACAATTATGATGATTATACAACTTTATACCTAGTATTATACTATGATTATATTATAGATGATTTACATAAACCCTATTATGCCTAGTATTACCCTCTGGTAAACTAACTTAACTATGGAAAATCACCATGTTTAATGGGTAAATCCACGAACTAAATGGCCATTTTCAAGTTCGCACACTGTTAGTTTACCAGAGGGTAGTCACAATGGGATGGCAAAAAAATGGTACCCTCTGGTTATTTAACATAGCCATGGTATAGATGGCCCATTTATAGATGGTTTACCGAACTTGAATATGGTGATTTTCCATGGCTATGTTAGTCATAACCAGATGGTAGAACTTTTCTCCCAGCTCGCAGGCCATGTCCACCCTTCGTCGTGCCCAGCGACCTTGGCAGCTCCTGGCGCTGCTGGACGAAATGCCACGGAACCAGGTGACGCCCAACGAGATCAGCGCCTCGGCTATTTGGACCCTGGGGACCGTGGGGAAAAATCGGGAGTTCAGCTGTCAAAAGATGGAAAAAAAACACATATGTATAAAAAGGTGAGCTTCACTGGGAACTAATTGGAATTCGAGAAGAAACAAATTGAAACAATGGTAAGAAAACATGGAAACATGATGAAACATGTGAGTTTCACTGTTGTCTTGTCTAATTTCAGCAGCAAAAGCATGAAAACTGCTGGAACTTTAGTTGGTTCACGAGAAAAATGATGAGGTTAGGCAAAAGTTTTCTGAATTGACAGCGCTGGAGGAAATAGGACAATGATAAGAAACAACAAAATCTTAGGACACTGTCATATGATGATGGTATAATATGGTATATATGTATAATATATGTATAATATATATATATAATACAGTATGTGTATAATATATGTATAATATATGTATAATATATGTATAATATATGTATAATATATGTATAATATATGTATAATATATGTATAATATATATATATATGTATAATATATGTATAATATATATATATGTATAATATATGTATAATATATGTATAATATATGTATAATATATGTATAATATATGTATAATATATGTATAATATATGTATAATATATGTATAATATATGTATAATATATGTATATGGGATTATATGGGAATATCAATATATTATCTGGTTGGTGGTTTGGAACATTTGGAGTTTTTGTTCCATATATTGGAAATAATCATCCCAACTGATGAACTCCATCATTTTTCAGAGGGGTTGGCTCAACCACCAATCAGATGATGGTGATGTCACCAGAGCAACAACTATGGCGTTCACGAGTACCGTACCGGTGGGTAAAAAAGGGCCACAGCTGCATCGCAGACGCCGGTGAAACACGGTGAAACACGGTGAAACCAGAACGCAACTGGTGAACATTCGAATGGTGATGGTATTCCCGATTCGTTTCTTATCTCATTGAAAAGATTGGCTACAAGTGATAAGATCTCATCAGTATATATTAGGTTACTAGCCAGTTGCTAGGTGGGAGAATCCTCCAAGTAGCGACAAAAACCATTGGTCCAATCCCTATGTTTCATTGTTTCCTTCCCCATGGTTAAGGCCATTAATTACGGCCTTAACGTGAGGTTTCGGCACAGCCGTGAGCGCCTGCCGTGCGGCCGATGAGTGGCTGATGACACTGCAGCTGTTGCGGCAGATGAGCATCACACAGCTGGTGGGCCCGCGATGGGGGAAGCGTTGATCATTTTCCGAGGTGTCAGAGGTCAGGTTGATGGTTGATGACACATCCTGGCAACCACAGCTGGGAAATACCCCTAGATATGGCCATTGAAATGGGGAAAATCATTGATAGTTGCGTTTGACTACCGGAGGGTATACGTAATTATTTCAGATGTACAATGTGGAACAGTTATAGTTCTAAGGAAACAATTTGTTTATGTATGGCTTCTTGAGCCTTAACATGATCATGGTTTGGTCAGATTAGAAGGTTTCACAAGTGTGATCACAGTTGATGGGATTGTAGGGTTCCAAAAATGGTCTACCCTCGGGTAATCAACCAACGCAATGGAAAATCGTCGGGTTATATGTAGATGATAGACTATCGTCCCATTAAAACCTCTACTTTTAGGGACTTCCTTCAGCTAGCCACGCTTGATTACCGCAGGGCTAAACGGTACACATTCCAATGGGTATCAATGGATATCAATAGTTGATTAATATATATATATATATTATACAGTATATATATATATATATTATACAGTATATATATATATGTTTACAGTTGATTAACATTATTAATGGGTATCATAACATTCCATTTATGATTGTGGGTTCAAATGAATGGGATCATTCGGTACCAAAGACAAGCGTTTGTGGTCCCTATGCTTCTCCAGAGGACCTGATAGAGCGGAAACACAACGTGCCAACGAGCAATGAAACATGGCAACGGAAGTATAATAGGAGAAACATGGATAAACCATTTTTGATGTAAAACCCATAATAAATCTATCATATACTGTATCATTTTGGGGGGTGGTTGAAAAGCAACGCATAAAATCATAGAATGGTTATTTTTTGGATGGTTTAACCACATTAAACCATATTAAATCCATGTTAAATCCATGCTGGAATGGGTTTACCACATGAACTGTTGCCAGGGTCCTCCAGTGACCCATAAAGTGATCCACGGACAACAAAGCCACCTGGGTCTCCATGGTGAAGTTTCTAGTGAATTCATGGTTTAATCATGGTTTAATCATTTCTTGATGGTAAACCTGGTAAATTAAATCATGGTGAAATATGTCCATGGTTACCATGTTACCATGGTTTAATTTATTTAATTCCCATATATTTTATCATTTGTTTTTTGATGGTCAAATCCAGCATTCAAAAACAGGTGCCGAACGTGATCATCTACAGCGGTGTCATTGCAGCCTGTGGAACACAAGGCGCCACCGGCCACCGGTGGCGATTGGGCAAGTCAACGGGGCAGTTCAGGTTATACTAGCCAATATATTGGGGAATGATCATGTTTGGTTGGTTGATGATTTGTTCGGGGGTCGTACCATGGATATTATATCATATACAATGGGGGTATAGTGGATAATAATTTGGATAACTGATGATTTGATGACCAGTTCAAGGGTTATCAACCTACCCATGATAAGTATGGGGGGATTCTCATAATCCATGAACTGGGAAATCCGTTCTTAACAAGCCAGGAACAAAAGGTACGACTTGCGGGTCTTTTACGTATATACCTGTTTAGACATTGGAAAAATATGTATGTATCATCTTAAACATAACATACACCTAAAAAACCTATAAAAGCTGGTATATCAGATCTACCTGGATTTGCTGAAGATGAGCGTTTGTTTTCCCAATGGAAAATCCACTACCTTGGGAATCTATAGGGATCCTTTAGCCAGTGGCACCAGGTGAATGGCAGATCGCCTTGCAGTTGCTCAACGACATGCAGAAGCAGGACAGCCGCGCTGTTGTGTCAACTGTCGCCGAAGAATGCGGTAGAGACATGGGACTTCCATGTGAAGCCACGGAAAACACTCTTTACTCTATAATATAATATTGATTATATAATATAATATATAGTAATAATGACAAAAAATAATAATAATAGTAACAATAATAATAGTAATAATAATGATCATGATAATAATAATTAACAATAGTAATAATAGTAATATGTGTATATATATATATATATATATATAAGCCTATGGATCCAAATACTTCCTGAGAAGGTACTGAACACCAAACCATACCCAACATACTTCCTCGGAAGGTACTTGGATCCATAGGGATTTATACATATTTATATATATATATATTGATATACATGTTGTTTTTAGATTTATATGGCCACAATTCCATGCAAACGGATATCGAGAGAGAGAGAGAGACATCTAGCATTTCTCGATCACTTCCTGGGGGAACCACGGATTTGTCGTTTCTATGTTGTGCGTGTGTCCCCCTAGTGCCATCATATGTGTGTATATATATATATATACAAACAAGGTAATTTCATATTAGAAATAGAATAGAATCACTATTTGTAGAAAAGAAACAGCAAATTGAATCACATATAGATATACATATGTTTTAAAAAATGTCTTTAGATATAACCCAGTGATCTTCACCGGGTATATACACACTTCCAGCATAGACCATCTTTGCTTTTTGCATGGAATATCGGAATATCCCATTTTTTCTATGTGAAATAATTCCATGATCCGCATCTGGGGATGATGATGAAGGTTTCCCATGGGTCTTCCCACCATGAAATCCCCCAGGATCTCTCACCGGATCAGATTTGCTTCTCAGCCGTTCTCAGGGCGCTTTCAGTTGACGCATGGCCAGAGGGTCTGGTACTTTGGACCAAGTGGGGAGATGCAATCGAGCAGAGATCTGGGAATCATCCCTTTAAAAAGCAGAACTTGAAAAAGCTTGGCGAATTACGCCTATAGTAGTAATTAATTCAGAAAAATTTATATCATTATCTACATCAATCTATATCAATCTAGTTTTTCCTTCATCAAATGGTTCTCAACGGTTCTGTGTGGGTTATACTCTGTGCTGTCACAACCACGGAGCCGTTCGGCCGTTCGAAGGGTTTGGCCGTGCCAGGCACTCCTGTGCTCCATGCGGCAAGTGACGCAGCACGGCGACCGGGTGACGTACAACACGGCTATGAATTTGTTCGCTAAGGAGCCTGGGATCAGGGGAAAATAGATGGGAATATAACATAATATAACATAATAATCATAATATAACCAGTTAAACATGGTTAAGTGCTGTGTTTATGGTGATTAATCAGTGTTGGGATATCAATGGGATGTATAACTATATATATATGTATATATGTATGTATTATGTATGTATACAGTATACATATATGAGGTGGTGTCCCAGTTAGAGAAGACAGCCACACTGGCCAACCAGAGTTTGGAGCACAACCTTGCGAAGCAAATTGTAGTCATAGCGACTGAGATTTGTTGCCTTTATTGGTAGCATATTGTAGCTATACAATTTCTGGTTGGTGGTTTGGAACATTTGGATTATTGTTCCATATATTGGGAAGAATCATCCCAACTGACGAAGTCATATTTTTCAGAGGGTTGGCTCAACCACCAACCAGTAGATGTGCGAATGGATGAGTGTTTTTGGTTTGTTATCTCCGCCAGTTAAGTTGACCCCAAGGTTTTACATCAGCCATCAACGAGTTTTTTCCACCAGAAAAATATGAGGTTTCTAATCAAACATGGCTGGCCGGACACCAAAACATGATCTTTGGATGATGTGCATGTAAAAGATGTGGATTTTCGAGATGATTTACCGATTTGGGTAGATATTGGCCAAACATCTTGACAAATTCTGGGTGATATTTGATTGTTGGTGGTTGAAAGGAATCATTGAATACCATTTATCAGGTTGTCTGACTAGACATGGTCAGAATACGGTTTCCAAAAAACTGAGATGGTTTCCTGCAAAAACTACAAGTTGAAATCTGTGCTTCGCGATTTCTGCAGCCCCCGAATCCCATTGTTTGTCATGACATTCTGCATCAACTTTGTAACATTGCCATAAATTATCATAATTTGGGGGCCTATCCAAGACTACAGTACATGTCATAATTATTATATATGTACATATATACTATTCTTAGCTATATGCTCCAGATTATATGACAGACTACACCAACATTTTTCATGGTGAAATCCCCATTTTTCGTGATCAACAGAGCTGGTTGGCCCTGAGGCCGGTGAGTGGCCACTGGTCTTGCAGCTCTTAGAAGAGATGGAGGCCCTTTTGCTGCGGGCCGATGGAGTGAGTGTCTGGGCCGATGGAGTAGGGAGAGACCTCGAAGATTCGAAGCAAAGAAAAAGGTGGTAAAATGGAGGGGCCCTACTTGGTACTTTTCTAAAAGTAAAAGGATGAATTGTGTGAAATGAAAAAAAAAACACAAACTCAACCCCAAAGATCCCCAAATTCTTTAAAGATTTAAATGAAACATGTTGCAACTGGTCAAGCTAGGTCTGGATTTAGGAGTTTACGGAGCTGGGGGGGCGGGACACCCAATATCTGGCCACCAAAACGGTGGACAATAAGTTTGTAAACCACAAGCGGGCGGTGAAAAATCTGAATCTCCTTGGTCTTATGTATGTTTGTTTGTTGTTTCGGTATTTTTTTGGGGACAAGCCCCCTGGCATTTCAGGTTATAGCTCAGCAGTGAGCGCTTGTAAGGGCGATGCCTGGCCACTTTGCGCACTTGATGGACTGTGGTGGGAGGGTTTTTCAGGACTCCGGCCATTCCCCTCTGGTAACATAGCTATGAAAAATGGCCCATTGATAGATGATTAATCTCGTGGTGCGACTGAATCTCCCTAACAAAATAATAGTGATATATATATAACTGCTGCATCTACCCTCTGGTAAACTAAGATTGTTATGAAAAATGGCAATGGTGCATTTCCATGGTGATGTAAACGTTTACTGGAGGTTATAGCAAACCCAAATATATACACCTGGAAAACATGGGGAAAAGCCATGGGGAAATCATCGACTCCCATCCTGGTGGCACACTTTATGGGTGATCGATAAGATGTTTAGAAATGTTTAGAATAAGGATGCGAATTCGGCATCAAAACTGATTGGGATTCCCCAATCACATGGATTTTCCAGCTCTGGATCATGAGATTGTAACCATGCTTCATATCAGCATTCTTCATCTGATTGTTCGCTCATGATCATGTCATAAATCGGGAGACAAACCTTTTAACGTGATATAATTTCACGAAACTTCATAGCTGGAAGCCTCAACTCAGTAGTTGGATACCCTCAACTCATAGAGGTTACCAAAAGTAGGCTAAGGGAACCACCCTTCAGATTTTTTACTAGGTCAATCTTGGATGATAGTTTAATCCTTTAGTCTTTTGGTATCAATGGGATTATCTATCAACCAGCTAAAAAGTCATTTGTTTGCAGGGTATCGAAGATTGGCCATGTTTTAGAGGGTTTTTTTCACCATGTCCAAAGCATCTCCCGTGAGTGTTAATGCTCCCCATGATCAACTCTACATGGGCTTTCAGCGTGGCCTGGTAACCCGGTGAATCATTTCTGGCGAAACCATTCAGCCCAATTCGTAAGGCAACCCAGAGGCAGTACTCAAACATTGCTGGAAGATCTGAATAAGAATGGATGATTTTCCCAGCTAAAGGAAACACATTTATAGATTATAGAATTTTATAGATATGTATAGTGGATTTCCCCATCATGTTTCTGTTTGATTGGTGCCGTGATCATTTCTGACTAGTTGCGTGGACGGAATCGGCTTCATTGGATATGGACGGAATCGGCGATTCAACAGGTGCCATGGATCTCGGCCGGTGTACTTTGCATCACCTCCCATGGCTGCTGGGTATCCTCACAGGCAGAGCCCCAGCAGCTGCAAACTTGGCACGTCGAAGGTTGCCGATGTGTTGCCAATAGATGAACTCTGCGAAGCACCGTGAGCTGATTCTCGAAGACCAGGATGAAGTGCGTGGCACTTAAATGTTTCCAGAGGAAACAAAACCCGTTTTCCCTTCGCCTTTGCGTTTGCCTTAGCACGAGGCATCGCTGGCATTTCTTCCTGCGGAAAAAAAATAATGTTTCCATATTTCCCGTGTTATTCCCATCTTTGTTGACACCAAGGCCGATGGCATTGTACATGTTTCGTCGCATGCCGGAATTGAGACTTGGCAGCCTTGGCAGCGACAGGGGGGGAAGTTGTGGTTTTAATCACCATGTTGGAGAGGTACATCATCGAACTAAATGGGCAATAAAAACCCCAGCTATCTTGGAATCTTGATTTACCAGAGGGTAGCAACATTTGACATGTCAGATTGCCAGGGGCTGAGGCTCGAAGTTGTCAAGTTGACCATTTTTCAGAGGTTCACATGTGTGAAGTTGAATATCTTTCAATGATGTGTGGCCTGATATATCTGATATGGCTCAAAATGTGGGACCAAGCAGCAGCACAAAGTTGCCATTTATTTTTTTGGGAGGTGCACAATGTCGAGCATTTTTCAAGATGCTTCAAGTCAAGGTTCAAGATCAAATGAAAGCTGCCCATTGACAATTGTGTGGAAATCTAAATGGAGTAGTTCTGAGTGTGTCTCAAGATAGGGTACCCCCAATTCCCATAAATTCTCATCATATTCCCTATTCAAATACCACGTTGAGGTATACCCCATTTTCAGACACGCCCAAGAGCATCCCATATCCATTATTCACGGGTCCAACCCCTATGTTTGATGGTTAAATCATGTTAAATCAGTTAATCATGTTAAATCATATTACCATGTGGTAGATTAACATAGACCCTGAAAATAGCCATTGTTTAGTTGAAACCAATCTTCCAATCCCTATCTGCCAGGGTCGAACTGTTAATTCACCAGAGGGTAAATCATGTTAAATCCTCCATTTCATGGTGAAATCCACCAAGTTCTTCCATCACGTCGTGATCGTACTTGCCCCAGGAGCGTGATGCAGGATGTGATAGCCTTCAACTCGGACGCTCGGCGCGGCTTCCGTATTCGCGACCCAACCCGGGACCCAACCTGGGTTACTATGTTGGACAGGTTAAGAAGAGATGTTAAAACGCACAAAACCATAGAAGAAATCCAATCCTACTAATTAAGATATTATATCTATATATATAATATATATATATAGTTGTAAAGTACATTAAGTACTTTTCTATTTGGTGGGCGTTACTCTATATATTGTACATACCCCACTTTCAGAGCAACTGCTAGGGTGGTTGGATCTCTAAGGCCATTGACACTTGTCAAAGTGCACCCTGGCCTCTTGCGCTGACTTTGCTGGAAGAAATGGCTGCACAAGAACTCCAAGCAACCGTGGTGAGCCCCTTGTCGCATGGGTGTGTTTGAAACGGATTGAACCACCAAAGTGGCCATGAATAGGGAAAATTATGGTTAACTATCAATCTTTGGGATATCCATCGGTACTTGTACCCTATTGTCGGAGCAAGCTACATAGTGTGAATGGTTGCGAAATCCAAAAAACCAGTTGAAAACGGTGGCTTATCCCATAATTTATTAAGGTTTCAACAGTTTCAACCATCCTTTTGGTGGTGTAGGATTTCGCTGGCCCATCCGTAGGATGGACCTGGAATTGGATCATGGGAAAAGCTGAGGTAATTTCCGGTCATGGAACCCATAAAACCACATGCTATCCCAGTGTTATTTGTTTGACTTATATATCTATATAAAGGATATATATATATAATTATATATATATCCTATATGTATCTATATGTCATTACCTGTTTTATTTCATATCTATTATCTGCGTTTCTATGGGATATCCCCAGTGATGTTGGTTAACACTCCCACTGGTAAATACCCCAGGCAGCTGAAGCAGCTGAGGTCTGAGTTCAGCCATGCTCTGCTGCAGCCGTGGAAGCGCATGGCAAGTGGCCTTGGCGCTGCATGACGTCGCACAGTTCGTCGCCGGGGCGGCCGGGACGGACTCCTTCTACTGTAACTCAGAGGGCAGTTTCCACGACCTGGATGGGTTTGCTGGGCTTAAGGTGATTGGGATTTTTTTGTCATATTTTTCGCAATGGGAAATCCACCATTGGAATTTATAGGGAAATACCATGTTATGTTTGGGAGCTTGCAGATCAGCAAATCCAAGAACTTTGTCTTAAACAGCCACAAGACTACTTGGACTACTACTTGCCGGGGTGGTAATAAATCTCAGCCAGCTATTAATTCAATTTAGTTATATACCGTACCGTATATCCATGATCTCTGATATGTTTGTTGCTTAGCTGTTTTTTTTCTGAAAGCAGGGTAGCATGTGTATTCCTAAATCCAGTGGCTAATCAGCATTATCAAGATGAATCCACGATTTTCAGACAAACCATATCCATTCGTTTGTGGCTGGATTCTGTTTCCAGCTCAGGTATAAGCAGTATAAGCAGTGCCCCAGGCAGCCCTCTCCTGGTTGATGGTTTGATAAACCTACGGTTTGCTGGTGTGTCATAGGATCATGATCATTATAACATGATTAGTTATTGGGTTTACCATGTTACTATGGTTGTAAATCCAATGATAATATTTATATATGTACAGCTTATATACATGCATGCATGCATGCATGCATACATACATACCTATCTACCTACATACCTATCTACCTATCTACATACCTACATACCTACATACCTACATACCTACATACCTACATACCTACCTTCATACCTACGTACCTACGTACCTATATACCTACATACCTACATACCTACCTACCTACCTACCTAACATACATACATACATACATACATACAGTTACATACATACAGTTACATACATACAATTACATACATACATACATACATACATACATACATACATACATACATACATACATACATACATACATACATACATACATACAGTTACATATATACAGTTACATACATACAGTTACATACATACAGTTACATACATACACATACATACATGCATGCATACATACATACATACATATATATATATATATATAAATTCATACCCATGATCCTGGAATTGCTAAAGAGGATTTGTGATGTTCTCAATGGGAAATCCACTACTAGGGGAATCTATAGGGAATTCTATGCTATCCAAGTGATATCCCCGTTTTTGTTTCTGTGTTTTATCCCATAACTATCCCAAATCATTCCACAATTCTCAAATGATCATCCCATTATGCCATAATCATTCTAAACATCTAGGATGGCCCATTATCCCATTATTCTCCCATTATCCATTGGGACAAGGTTTATAACCATTGGGGATGGTGACTATGTCCTCGGATAGTCACCACCATTCAGGTGATAGTATCGCGATCAACGCCTGCGAAGCCGCGGGTCAATGGACGTTGGCACTGGGACTCTTCCACTCCTTGCAGTCCATCAATGATGTTTGCATCTCGGTGCCCCGGGTGAGCTGAGTTGGTTTATATCTGCAATAACTAAGGTGTTTATGGTAGGTATATAAATATATACATATAGTAATAATAATAATAACAATAATAATAATATATATATATATGATTTTAGATATATATATATATATACATAGTTGATGGGGGTTATAAACCAACTTAGAAGTGATGACATCACCTTTTATCACCTTGTACCTGTGGGGGGCCCTTCAATTTTGGTGGAATTTGGCATCAAGGGTCCATTCAGGTATCCAGACTCCTTTTTCTTGAGCCATATTTTGTATAGTACTGAAATTTGCGCCTTGCATATGCCTTACATTTGCGTGCGGTGCCTCCAATTTAGATACCTGAAATGTTCCCAAATTCTGGGGGGTTACCCTCTGGTTATTTAACATAGCCATGGAAAATGGCCCATTTAATCCCATTTATAGATGATTTTCCCAGCTAGAAACCTCCATTTATGGTTGGGATTTTCCATGGCTATGTTAGTCATAACCAGATGGTACATATGTTGCTAGGGCTTCCTTGACGAAGATCATAACCGCCTCGTTTTGACTGGGCCTCTGGGGACAGCCCAGGACCCTGGGACAGCCCAGGAAAGTCAAGTCAGATCCACCGCTGGGTGATCATGTGTGATAATCCACTATGAATTACCCGGGGCTAAAATTATTTACCCTCTGGTTATGTCAAAATAGCTATTGAAAATGGCCATTTATAATGAGTTTTTCCATTAAAGATTGTGATTTTCCATAGTTATGTTAGTTTACCAGAGGGTATTCCGATCTTTGGGAATAACTATATGAGCCATAAAAAAAACACATGTTTATTCCCCCATAGATGTCTAAAATATACCCATCGTATCTCACTGTCTCACTGTAAGGACTCCCATTATGGGATGGATGACCATAGCCTATGACTCCCATGTAACTTGACAATGGATATATATCAAATGTCCCCATCAATAATCATCAATATCCGTGTTGGTTGGTGATATTATGGTGTCATTGATGATTATTGATGATTATAATAACATCAACCCATAGATTGTTATAGCGTCATAGATTGTTATAGATTGTTATAGATTATAATATCATGTTATAGATTATTATAGTGTTATTCTATGGTCCCATATCAGCCCCTATGGTTGGTTATTATGGTGTTAACATGGCTGATCTCCATGGAAATCTGCAGTGTTGCCCAGGTTTACATGCTGCCATGAGTGCTGCTGGTGCAGCACAAAGGCAACGCGCTGGGGAAAGCAAGCAATTTGTTTCCGGGTAGTTTGTCCATGAAAGATGGCGATTGAACCAAGATAGATAAGATAGGGGGAAGTCACTATCACAAAGATTGCCAGGCAGGTGAAGGGGGCTCTCTAGACATCTCTAGACCTTCAATCTTTCCTACCGTAAATTGGTAAAAAATAAAGTGGGGTACCTAAGATCGGAATAGGTTGGCCATGTAAACCTTTTGGGGACCGGGTGGTGACCCCCAGTTCACCGCAAGCTTTTGATTTATAGCTAGAAACATAACATAAAAACAGTAGTTTATATAAGGTAGAGATATCTATAGTTCAGTGAACTCATAAACCAATTTATCACAAATAGATCTAAATAATTCATTATTCATACTGGGTTTGTAGTACTTGAAGGAGTGGTTGGGCTTATAACCATGGTTATGTCCCCCATAAGTTGGAATGCAACCTCTGTTATTACATGTTTATAATCCTTTATATACATACACATGATTATACATATCTAAACAAAGAGTGGATCTCAATAATGATGCCCATTTTAAATACAAACATAATATGTTTTGTATCATAAATATATTATATACATATCTAAACCTTATGCCCATGTTTACAAAGAGTGGAACCTCACCTCGAAGTAGGGTGGAGTCGCACAGCAGGTGGCCGATTTCTTTGTCTCTGTTGCACGACATGACGCAAAGCACGCTGGTGCCAAGCTTCTCGGCTGCGTCGAAATGTCGAAATCATCAGCTTCTGAGATCGAAGTTTGGAATCCATGGTTTTTGGTATTCCTGTTCCATACCTTTTGCACATTTCCCACTTCCATCCATATCTCTGGATAAATTACCACGGCATCACTGGAAAGATGGTTGAGATTGGCGTAACTATCCCCATATAGCCAAACTTTTGGGATGAGTGAATCATTATAGTCTATCCAGAACAATCAATGATGCTGGCTGCTGCTTCACTTATTTCACTTCAGGTATAAATGGGATATTCATGCTATACGATGGGACTTCGTGGTAGCCATCCTTGAGGCACGGTGAGCTTCAATACTGCCCTGAATTCATTCGGAGGAGCCGAGCAAAGATGGGATGCTGCAGTTTCCGAAGCCATGGAGCTTGTTTTTAAGCTGGGAACATCCATAAAAGGGAGCTTTTCCAGCAAGCCATGTTTGATTACCAGATGGCATAGCTGATTTTACATGTGGATAGAGATCATGATCAACATGGCCATGACATTGGTGGAAACATGGTCCATCCGATCCTAATAAAAGAACGACAAGCGGGTGTGAGATTGATTGTTTTGAACTTGATTTTGTTGAAATGTGTGAAAAATACATGAAATTTATACATCTCAATTCCTTTTGGATCCTTTTGGTCTTGCCCCATGGTGGGCTATCAGGAGATCAATGGCGAATCTCCTTGCGCTTTTTCACGACAATGCAGAGCAGTCGCTGCACAGCGGATGCCATCAGCTTCAATGCTGCCACGTCGGTGCCGCGGTTGTATAAGGACAGGACACAACAATTCACCATGGAAATAAGGATTTCCCGGAGGCTACTATATATTTCTTTACCACATTACTATGGTTGGTGATGTATCCCATATTATCCCATGATATTCCCAAGATATATATGGAACATACATGATATAATATAAACTATGGTTTGTATGAAAAAACATTGAAAAACAGATTGACATATCATTGATATATCTATTCATATCTATTCCATTTCCGCCTCATTCCGCTTTTTACCTTCTGGTTTTCCCGCCCAATTTCCGTTTTTTTCCGCCTAAATTCCGGTCACAAATGCCAAGGTCAAAAACTCGTTGAACGTTTTTTCAATGCTCGCCGCCTTTGGTAGTTCTTCATTCAAGAGTGCAAACCAGTTGAGAATTCAACCCCATCGAGAGACCCGTTGGGGATGCTTTGGAAATGCCGATGCCATTGGATATTCCGGCTAATTCCGTCTAAGAACAAGAGTAGGCGCCGAGGGCAGAAAAATGTCCCCAATGGATCTTTAAATGAATGTAATTAGTGTGGGTAAAACAATAGTAAACTATAAACCACCCCATTGTTGATGGTTTCTACCACCCATTTATGGTGATTTTTGGGATGGTTTATTATGGTTTATTATTGTTTTAACAACATTGGATACATCTATACTCCTGGAGTTTTATCAATATAAACTGTTGGAGATCAGGATCCAGGGGTGAAGGTAACGCCGACCTCAGGAATTGAAGGACCACTGGTCTTTGAGCTTTTCCCTGGTCTCTTCGCTCGCAGCGGAAGGCGCAGTTCTTTGGACGATTCAGCTGGTGGTTGATGAGTTTTGAGATATCCAGTGGATTTAGCCATTTTGACCTGGCAATAGAATTGTGTTCCCATTTGAAGCATGTATACCCATCTGTATAAGCATTTATAGATGATACTGATATTAAGAATTGGTGGTGTGACCGGAAAACATATTTGCATATGTTTGCCAGCTAAAAACAATGCGCTTCTCTTTGAACATTTTACCAACCTAAACATTGGGGGTGGGCCAACCAAAAACAGGAAGAGCACCAGCAAGAAGTAGGAAGCAGCGGCAACCAATTGCGACCAATGGACCTTTTTTTGGTTTCTTCCAGCAACAGGTAGGAACAATCCCACACAGAAGTGCCCCCCAGTAACAGTAAAAGGTTTATAAACCCCCATTGACTATTATATATATAGAGGAATATATTTATATACCATTGTACCATATAATAATATATATATATATCATTATATATATCATAATATTACCTATAATATATAATCTATTATGTATCTTAGAGTCTTAGACCATAGTTTTTGTAGTTATAAAACCCACTTAGACAAAGAAAAACGGCACCACCTTGCATTATTGCTGCATTTGCCGTGTGTTTGCTCGTTGTCTTTCCGGATGATCACCTTGAAGTGACGGTGGTCACCGGTGGTCTATGGTTTGGCAGTACAGTATCAAGTACCTTCTGGTACATTAACATGGACCCTGGCATGATTTGGGGGTTGGAAGACTGGTTTCCACTCAAAATTGCTTATTTTCAGGGTCAACAAGTTAATTTACCAGAGGGTATCACCAATTATTTGGCTGGTTCTTGCAAATATTGTTGTTTGCATCCTTTTTGGGGGAATATCTGCATATATATCATATTTGTTGCTTCTAAAACACCCACTTTTGCATACTTTTGCCAGTGCATAGTTATGGCCCATACCCGTCAACAAGTGGTGATGCACTACACCGTCTAAACCACTGTCATAGGCTACGAAACCTTTAGTTTTTGTTGATATTTGTGATGTATTTCCACCATGATTATAGAATTAATATCATACCCTACTGCTCCAAATACCCTCTGAGAATGTGTTCAGGCTCCAAAAACTACCCCAAATACGGTCTTAGAAGATGTTTGTTGGAGTTTTAGGGATATAGAAATGGTTTACAGGACACCTCCACGTTTCAAGAGCATATCCATGTAAATCCATAATTTCCCCATGTAAACCCATGGATTTCCCCACGTATCCCCATGTAAATCCATGGATTTCTTGGAGTTTGGCTTCCTCCAACCCCCACGGCGGAAACCCAGGATTTCCGGAGCAGCGCCTTACAGCTGGGCCGCTGGGATCAATCTCTGCAGCTGCTGGAGAGCTTCGTTCACTCGAGGACATCCGCCGTGGTGAATGAGGCCAGTAGCAGCTAGTATATAACTGCTATTAACTGCTAGTATAACAACAATAGATGTTCAATATTTTTTTTGAAGTTGCAACAACAAATTTTCAATAATATAGAGTATAACAACAGCTAGTAGAGGCATAAATGGGGCATATACCAGATATATAACAGATATATAACAGCCAATAAATGTGATAAATGAGTGTCTTAAATAGAGATCATATGTGATATCATCGATGATATCATCCAATTTATGGTGGTTTTTGTCCTTTGCGATTTGACCGGAGGGCCCTGATGATCCATAGCCTGGACCTTCCCAGTACATCCTGATGGTTTCATATGGTTTCCAGCTTTTTTCATGTTTTTTCCAACCATTTTGTGGGTTGCCATAACCATGGATAACTGAACATAACTGCATAACCTCCAATACACTCTCAACAACCCAAGTTTCAATGGAATCTTGAAAATCGGATGGGTACATATACCTAAATCAGATCTCTATCGAATACTTAAGCTTGGATGTGCATCCTAGTTACTGTAGGATCCGTGTCAGCTCCATAGCTGAGACATCCCCTCTAGATGAGTAGCCAGGCATCGCCCGACAGGACGGCGTTAAACCTTCTAAGTTGCAACAGTATCATCAGAAGCTCAGCAAATTTACGGCTACCCAAAGGGGGTCAACTGCTGGTGTGGAAAAGCCATAGGAGAAGCGACAATGATCTACAAGTGCTCGATTTTCCGCATCGATGTATATAAATGTTTACAGGAGGGGAACAGTTTGCTATGGCAAAGCACCCTTTTTTCGAAGGGAAATCATCGAACAAAATGGGCCATGGTTTCCATAGCTATGTTAGTTTAGATGCGCTGCTGGGCAGGGTTCGCTTGTGGTTTATCTCAAGGATGCGGTTGTTGAATGCTGTTGATCTAGAATCTTGGGTGAAGTTGGTTCCACCAATTGGCCAATGCCACTGGAAGACGAGCTCTGAAAAAAGCTTGGCACCTTTGGTCTACATCCATCACTGAGGTCGACCAACAAAGCATCTCCCAGATCATGAAGCCATTAAGGGATCCCATTGGTGGTTTGGAACATGTTTTTTCCATAATATATGGGATAATCTTTCCCATTGACTTTCATATGTTTTAAGATGGTTAAAACATGTTAAAACGACCAACCAGGTTGTGATGGTGTTTCTGTAAACAACCACTTCAGAACTGGCGCATCCGGTAGATTTCTGTAACAGCAAGTCAAGTTACAATCCATTCCGCGTCACATCTTATGCTTTCCATCCATGGCCATTGCCATCCATTTATTATATAATGTCTTCCGAGGGGTCAAAACCACCAACCTGTATAACTGGAGAAATTACATTTTGTATTATATGATTTTATATTATATGATATTATATGATATTATATGATATTATATTATATTGTATTTTATTATATTATATTATAGTGTATTGTATTATATTGTATTATATTATATTATATTATATCATATTATATTATATTATATTATATTATACATATATGTGTGTGTACATATAGTAATCCCTAAACAGATTAAAAAAAGAAAAACGTACACTCATGTAAAGTTATACTGAAATAATGGTAAATCACTATTCTACATTAACCTGGTAGTTACTGTATCATATATATATACAATTATACATACATATAATAATGATAATCACCATTATAATCATTTCATATCCGCATGATATCCCAAGTATGTCCCCATTAAATCTCTTATATTCCTACTATAAATATCTGGCTTAACTCGTGGGCTACTATATATTATATATTCAATTTTACATACATATACAGTAAACATATAAATTCAAGTGGCTTATGAATCACAAATTGGGCCGAGGCTCCCACCACCAAAAGCGCTCCCACGGGCCCGCGCTCAGGCCGTATGGGACGCACTGCTCCATCGTTAGCTCTCCAATTCTTGGCCAGGCGATAAATTTTCTTCTCGGCTGTTTTGATGAGGCGAGGATAGGATCGATAAGGTAAGGTACTCAACTATTTGATAAAATCGATAGATTTATGGGAATTCAACTAGTTGATAAATGGTGAAATGGTGAATTCAACTAGTTGATAAATGGATATAAATTGTGAATTCAACTAGTTTAACAATCAAAAAGGATTAGACTCTAGTGGAAGTAAGAAATTGTTCACCATGATATACAAGGAGGGATTTAACCAATGGATAATAATATTCCCAGGTACTTACGAGAATGCTTGGTTGAGGAGATTTTTTATTGATGATAACCATGAAATTCATCGTGAAACATGGGGATTTTTCACATGATTTAGCCATCAAAGACAGGGATTTAACCAATGCAGAATGGATCGATAGATTGTATGAATGTGTCTGAAAATATGTGATTCACCAGGTCTAGCCATGAAAAATCATGGGTAATTGATGATGATCAGTAATAGTGTGATTTGGGGAATCAACCTTAAACAAATGGAATACTCCTCCGGTAACATAGGCATGGAAGCCATGGCACACTCTTGAATTAGAGGCTATCCCATTTTTTAGAAAGGCTTTTTTAATGGGGTGATATATCGAACTAGTTGATGGAGGTGTAGTCAACCAACAAACATAACGTTTGGGAGGCACCGCCTTCTCCCACGTCCCAGGCTGCCTCAGCTGGCTCTGCAGCCCGATGTCATTTCGCTGAATGCCATCATGGCATCCATGGAATGGCAAAGTGCTGTAGCATTGCTGCAGTCCCTTCCTGCACAACGCTTGGAGGTACGTTCTTGGGAATGAACAATGTGAAAAATGATGAGAAATCTGAACAAGATGGATGGTTTAAGAAGTTTACCAAACCACGATTGATGATTGCTTCTTTTTTGTCATTGTTGAAGCATATAAGATATATAAGCATGGACTTAGATTGGGTTGATGGCCCCGAATTACCTAAAGTTTTCAATGTCACTGAATTCTGGGAACAAAGATGAACAACGTATATACTGTATATTTTTTGAAACTACGATGGGAACACACATGGCTTTCTTTGCAAAAATGCTATCCCCCAAATTTCATGGTTTATCATCTTCATTTCCCCCACTCGAGAACAGCCATTTGAGATCAATCCCACCATGTTCAGATGGATTGGTGGAAAAATTGACAGGAAAGCTCATATTCCATGTTTCCATATTGTTTCCTGCAGATTTTCCCTTGAACCAATCCACTGAATGTTCGGATCATCTCCATCCCGCCGTCAGGCAGTTGCCGTGAGCTACAGCACTTGCATTAGTACCTTGGAGATGCGAACTTCGCTGATTCACCGGAAATTTTCTGGGGAATATAATTATATATATATATAATAGGGACGTAAGGAAGATCAAAATAGTGGGGATAGGGATGTCCCAGAATGTATGAGATATATTGAGATATTGATGATATTGCGGAGATGGGCGGATGATACAGGGAAATTTCATGGCGGAGAATGAGGATGTTTGTTTTTGTAATGGGGATATTCTGTGATATAATGATGGAATGGAAGAGACTTACAGACGAAGCCTAGCTGACTCCCCCCGGAAATCATTGGTTTTGTTCTACATCTGGGGAACATCCTGAAATGGGCTGATTTGACAATTGTACGAACAGATATTTCCCTCTGGTAAACTAACATAGCTATTGAAAATGGTCACTTGTAGTTGATGGTCACTTATAGTTGATTTACCCATTAAAAATGTTGGTTTTCCATTTATGTTAGTTTACCAGAGGGTAAAAGATATTAAAAGATCATCCAGTGTCATCCAGATCAAATTCAGATAAGAATTGTTGGGTAGTGGTTTGTCTAGAGAAATGGGGTAGCAACCCCCACAATGATCATTAAAAAAATGGAAACCGATCATAAACGCTGGATTTAGAGGTACAGTACCCTATTCTTGGACAAATCCAATTTACAACCATGGTTATAATATTAATATAATATATTTAAGATACAATCCCCATAGTAACCCCAACAAGATCGAAAGGCAAGCTATCATTATTTGGAGGTGTCCTAAAATGGGGAGAAACCCCAAATCATCCAAATCATCAAACCAGTTTATATTGTACTGAAATACATTGAAACCCGTGGTGACTTGGGGATCCCCCATGTTAAGAAGTTTCCATTTTTGCGGGGTTATATGTGCCTACCTTGTTCAGAATTGCTATACTTGAAGGATCATCCCACTTAGTAGGTTATATCATTGTATATCCTCGGCTTTTTCAGGACAAGCCGGGTTGATCCACTTATAATTGGGGTGAACTAACCTACTTAGTACCCTCTGGTAAACGTTTACATAGCTATTGAACATGGACATTTAGTTCGTGGATTGACCCATTAATAGCATGGTGATTTTCCATAGCAAAACGTAGACGTTTACCAGAGGGTAGGATTCGTGGCATTTCACCAAAGTCAATGGGAATAAAACAGGATCCTAAAATGGAGGTACTGGGTACGTTAGTACCATATTTTTGGCCATATTTTGGGGGGATATTCCCTGAAATTTAGGCCTTAGAAAAATGGTAGATACCTAACCATTGCCACCAGGGCACCAGGTCGTCCCTAGGCTCCTGTGGCCGATCTTCTCAACGTGCTGTGGCCCTTGAGCTGCTCAGGGAGGCCGTCGGCCGAAATTTGGCGAACCAGGCGATCGAACCCGGGGTGGACAGATGTGGATGTTGGATAGCTGGGATGTTGGCTGCTAGGGGAAAACTCACGTTGGAGGTGGAAAAGCATATGATTTCTGTAGGACAACAATCTGCAAATGGATACACATGGTGTATTTTGATTTTTTTTGCACATCTATGTTTGTTTACAGGAGGGTAATCTATATCAATGGTAGATCTGTTTACCTTTTCGAGGTTTGTGAAATTTGGGTGTCCAATGGGTATATAAGTTCTGAACTGGGGGGATACCCTCTGGTTAGCCCTAACAGCCTGTGGCAACCCTTAGAAATTTCCCCAGAGAAACGATCCATTTCTCTGTATACCGGAGGGTACCCAGGCAATGAATATGTGTAGAAGCCCATATGCGAAGCATGGTGCTGGAATATTTACCAACATTTACCCCATAAATGAGCCAGTTTTGTAGGTAAATTTCATGGTAAATATATACTATACATGGAGGCTCGATCTGGGAAGATGAATCAATTATGATTAGGTCGGTGGTTGTCATCTTCAGTTTGATTCTAAAAACCCGACCAATGGGGATCTATGACAGATATTTTTTTCACACGGGTTTAAAGCAACTAGATGAGTTTCAGATTAAAAAAGGCGGGGTTCGAAAACACAACGGAAAACCGACGAATTTCATGAAGTCGGTTTGAGGTTCATCATTTTTCAGAAGGCATTCTTTGGAAGACACTGTGATGTGAAAAAAATGCTGCCTCGGAGCTTCTGAGACAAAATCCGGGAGCCGGCATGGGAATCATGAGAAGGAGGGTACCCAAAGATGTCCTTTCCCATTGGCTGGTTGCTGAATAGAGGATGTAGAGGGGTCATCCCCATTGAATAACAACTAGGTAGATGATAATAAACGGTTTACCACACCGACCCCTTTAATTAGTTTTCCCAAAAGAACTTAATAATGGTTCTGGATAAGTTATAATGACCTCACTGCGACCTCACTGGAACATACTGGAACGAGGGTTAGGATTGGGGTACTTATCCCAAGATTTCCTTGTTCAAGATATTTCAAGATTAACAATTCATTAAGTGGTCCGACTGCAGGTTGTCTACAACGCCGCCATCGCCGCAACTCGATGACAGTTTAACGTGAGATGGTTTCAGTGGAATCGGAGGCTGGTGTGTTTTTATTGTGTTTGATGGTGTTTGATCACCATGCAACATCTGCAATTTGGGGTTGATGAAACTGATGTCTCCGATGTTTTTCATAAATCTGCCATTTGGGTTGATGAAGCTGAATTTTCTGAATATGGTTTATTCATCAAGCACAAAATTACCATAAAGTCCTCATAAAATGTTGCAGCATTTTTTGTGGATTAAACTCCCCGATTTCTTGCTTCAAAATTGAACCCTATCTAGTGCTTGAGAAGTATTCATTATTTACTACTATAAGCAATTGAATATTATGGTATTGTTATTATAGTGTTATCTATTATCACAATACAATACTATATCTATAATATATATATATACATACACATGTGTATATGTATATATATATATAGTATCATATTCATAGTATAGTGATCCATTCTAGGACCCCCTCCGTCCCAAAAAAAAATCTAACGCCAGCAGCTGACGCTATCCGTTGTCAAGGCTTGTGGTGGTCACTGGGAGGAAGCCTTGGCCTTGCTGTCATCGCGGCCGCTGGATGAGATGCCTGGCACTGGGGGGTTTGATTTTCACAGGGTTATCCTCTGGAAATTAAGCATAGCCATGGTAAATGGCCCATTTATAGATGATTTCACCTAGGAAAATGCCCATTTATTTGATGATTTATTTCTAGGAAAATGGTGATATGTTTGTGGAATTTCCATAGCTATGTTAAATGACCACAAGGTGGTGATGGGAAATGTTCTTGGACCATGTTCTTGGAAAATTCCTGAACTGGTTGGTGCTTTGGAACATGTCGATTATTGTTCCATTCAGTTGGGAATCATAGTCCCAACATGTCCCAACTGACTTTTTCTCCATCATTTTTCAGAGGGGTAGGGTTGAAACCACCAACCAGATGCCATTAAAATTCATTAGATCCTATTACACCACCATTAAATGCCATTAAATGCCATTAAATGCCATTAAATGCCATTAAATGCCATTAAATGCCATTGGTAGGTATACCACCATTTTTTCGCGATCGCTGGGAATTGCTGAACTGTAAATCTTATGGATGTGCTGAGTCCGATGGGCTTAAAATGGCTCCCATTTTCCCAATGGGGAATCCACGAACCGACTAGGGAATCGATTAAGGGAATATGTCAATGGGAGATCTCCAGGATCCTAAAATGGAGGTACGCTAGTACCATATTTTTGGCCATATTTTGTGGGGATATTCCCTGAAATTTAGGCCTTTTATAGGCCTTATATATGGTAGGTACCTCCAATTTAGGTACCTGAAATGGCCATTGAATATGTTTTATAGTTTTTTTGGGGTGTTCTTAAGCAAATCCAAGATAAGGCATGAAGAATTGGGAAGGGAAGATATGGGTTATAGATCGGGAACCCACAAAAAATGGGGTGCAGTGGAGATTCTTTACCCACAAAATATCGATTATGTCGCAACAACGGGGTCTTAGTTGGAAAAATGGGGGATGTGGACGGCAAGAATTTGATGTTTGACCAAGCGCAAGGCCGCGGATCAACCCCTGAATGAATTAGGATCCACTTGGGGGTAATGCTTAGATCCCATTGCTAGAAGTATACAGAAATTTCATAAACCCCAATTGAGGATGGTTTATGGATGGTTTATGGATGGTTTATGGCGGTTTAGCTCATTACTCATGGTAATCTTCTTATGTTTTTCCTTAGACAAAACCCAAGTAGACAAGCCATGGGGTTCTCCTGTTGGTGCTGGTACGCTCAGGATCAGCCTAAATTCTGCCATCAATTCCTGCGAAAAGGGGGGGCAATGGCAGGCCTCGTGGCGGTTAGGGTTTTGGGGAGAAACCCAGGGAGCCAATTCAGCGGAAGATTCTCTGGTTTTTACTACATGAAAGGGAGTTCAAGCAGTCTCGGAAGAGTTTTCAATGATAGACTCTGAAAAACATCACGCGAGACCGCGAGAGGTGTGTCTGTGTGTTTCTATATAGCTGCAACAGGTTGGATGGTGGAGCAAATATGGGATTACAAAAGTCCGGGATTTCGCTATCCACATCCATTAGAATAGAAATTATGGATGGGTCAAAACCGATTATATAATTATAACCATAGGGGGAATAACCATTCAGCTATACCAGCAAAAAAAAATGTGTACCATTTGGCTGCCAGGGTTTTGACCCATAACCAAATCACCAGTAAACAATAGACAAGACATAACCAACTTCAGCGGAGTTTTTTTTGAGGGTTGAAGGTTGGGTTCCTACGTGAGCTGCAGGTCGCACTGCAGTTACTGCTGCTTGGCGAACCGGGATTCGCTGAGTGGGCCAGCTTGGTTGGGAAAATCGGAAAGTGTAAAACCTGGTGATTCATATGGTAGTAATATCCCTATAGTTGTTTAAGCGCGTGTGGATAGAATCCAGCATTTAAAAAAATTGGGGTAAAAAATATGGAGGTTTCACCTCGCCAAATCTCGAGCATGGCACGGCATCCAAGGTCTATGGCACGCAGCATGAGGATGAGCCCTTACAACCTGGTCATCGCTTGCAACAGCGCGTTGAGCGCCATGGACAAGTGGCATGGCACGGCTACCACCGAAATGGGTGTCAAACATAGCAATTATGCAATTGGCCTAGACATGGAGTGTTAAAGCTGGGAGGCTGGGAGGGTCATCTAGAAATATCATAAATAGCCTCTGGCAAACTAACATAGCTATTGAAAATGGCAGTTTATAGTTGGTTTACATATTAAAATTGTGATTTTGCATAGTTATGTTGGTTTACCAGAGGGTATGCGATTTTCCAGCAAGCCATGTTTTTTATTATGACCGAAGCCTGGCCAAGACATTTGTAGGGTGTCTGGACACGGATATGATGTGCTAAAATCCTATTGCAAAATAGCTATGAAGTATGATTATTTCCTTTTGGGGTTATATATATATATATAATTATAAACAATATACATACATTAAAATACATATATATATATACATACGTATGTGACGCATGTGTATATATATATATATAGATAATATTATATATACACAATAATATAGCAATTTAAACAAGAATGGGAATCCCAAACAGGAGAGTTACTGTTGTGGACCAGTAGAACCGACTGGATGGTCATAGAACGTCAAGCCTGGAAACGCTGGACGCTGGTTTAACTGGGGGGGGGAGTACCATAAAATAGTGATAAATTAAATTGCTAAAATTGGTACTGCAGTTGTCCCGTAATTATATGTAATTATTCCATATGGTCCATATTCATATTCCTATATGTTCCCACTGTTTCCTATGTTTTCTCATCAATTATTTCAACATGTCCCGTATTTCCCATATGTTTCAAATAGTCTTCCATTTCTCCCATGTTTATAATATGCCCTCTGGTAAACTAACATAACGAACTGGAAAATCACCATTTTATAGCTGGGAAAATCCACTATTTCTATTGTCATTTTCAATAGCTGTTTTGACATAACCAGAGGGTACGTTCCGCCTCAATACACCAAAAACAGCGTGCTTTTCGCTGCAACAAAAACCGCACCAAGATGTGGTCAGCTCCTACCGGCCCTGCAGTTGCTCTCTCAGTACCTCGGTGATAACTTGGAAGGGAAGAAATGGTGGGACTTCGCAGGAAAAAATTGGTGGTTGAGCACCTGAAACTTCTGTTTCACCAGTCAAAACATGTTTTTGTTCCCATTAAAACCAGTTGAAAACATCGTTTTGTTGGCGAAACAGAACACATATGTTTTTGTTTTTCAGCTTGTTTTTGTGGCCCAGGACAGCAACAATCTTTGGGATCAGCATGTGCCATGTTTTCCATGATGGATCCAACATAAGAAGGTGGAAGACTATGGAAACTTTACCCTCTGGTTATGACTAACAGCCAGTTCGCGAAATGGAAAGATCCCATTTTTAAGAACGGTAAACCATCTATAAATCTATGGGCCATCTATACCATGGCTATGTTAAATAACCAGATGGTATCTATTGAAGATGTCAATCCCCCAATCCAATTCCACTTGATGGCCATGAAGTACGTCGAGCTTGCCGCAGCTTACCGACGCAACCGAGTTTGCCAAGGATGTGTCAGGAAAGATTGGCCGATGAAATTAGTGCCTCGGCTGCCTCGTTTCCGCTCGGATGGTCGACTTTGCTCCTTCCTGTTTGGTGAAGTTTGATGGTGGCGGACACACGATTGAGATCCATTCCCAAACACTCACTCTTAGGAAGTTATACACACACATATATATATATATATGATGATTTGTCAATAATTTATTATGAAACAGACTTGAAACAGAGCAAAGTATTCGGTGGCAGTGCCACCAAGTTCTCACCAAATGGGGATGTTGAGTATTGGGTTTACCACATTAATTCTCACCCACGTTTGATGTTTCATGCCGTGAGTCCAACCTCTTGGATACCAGCTCCGGTACCTCAGGATGAAGCCATAAAAAGCCCAGCTGTTTCTGATTGTTTCTGGTATTTCCAGCTGGTTGGTGGCTTCAAACATTTTTTATTTTCTATAATATATGGGATAATCCTTCCCATTGACTTATATTTTTCAGAGGGGTTAAAACCACCAACCAGCCAGTCTCTCTATGTCTCTCTTCCAGTCTTTTGTGCCACAGCTTCGAGGTTTCAATTGTGCTATCGCTGCATGTGAGAAGAGCAAAGACTGGCGCAAAGCCTTGCACCTTCTCGAGGTGCTCCCCTGCTGACCATTTTAGTATTGAAACTTTTTTACTTTTGGTGAGGAATGAGGTAGCCCCGTAGGAAACCTCCATTATTTTACTTCCGTGAATTCTTTGGAGATTTTTAGCAAAAATGTTCTGATGTTCAGAATAATGACGCATTTCGAGTTGATGGTTTGAAGCATGCGTGTTTTTTTTGTGTATGTTAGAGAATGACTTTCACATTCTTCAGAGAGTGAAAGCCATCAAGCAGACTTGATCATGGAAGAAGTCTCTCCAAGTTACCATGTATAAGTTGCGGCGCACACCCAGACTATCCCAGACTCTGTTTCTACAGGGAAAGAGTCATCTTGCGGGTCATCCTTCATTATTGTTGCTGAGACTCTTATTCCCATTCCTACTAGTCATGACCATGAGTTTCAACATGCAAGTCTTTGGAGGCCATTGGTAGATGGATTGGTCAACACTCTGATGGGTGCCCAATGACTTGAATGATATCCTTATATTCGATCTCCAATGCACCATTTCTTCGGTTGTATCCTGTTTCAAGTCCTTACATGACATTAGTGATGACATGTCAAGACTCTCTGGGTATCCCTCTGTTTTTGTTGATGCAACCGTTCAAATTGTCGCAAATCCTTATGATTAAATCTGCTTTGGTATGTACCATCACGTGTATTTATTGGTTCAAGGTGTCCTCCTCCCATCAAATGGTCTCTTCAACCCTTATCATCCATGTTTGTTTTTGACACTTTATTTTCTCCTGGTGAATTCGCCATTGTTTGTAGAATCCCCTTATGGCTGGTGAATATCCCGATGTTTGATGGTTAAATATGGTTAAGTCATGTTGAGTCACGATTGTTGATGATTAAATTCCCATTTCTTGGACGGTTAAATACCATAATAATAACTCTTTCTTTTGATGATAAAATCCAAACTGTTCACCTGTGTTTTAATTTTCAATCACCACGTTTCGTCTTTTTTGATGTTTAAATCACCACGTTTCAATACGTTCCATCACCTTTCACCTTTTCTGATGGTTTATTTCCCATGTTTGGATGGCACATTTACCAGAAAGATTCCCAGCTGCAGGAAATGCATCTGTGGTCGATGCCGGTGGCTTGACAATCTGGGGGTAGATCAAATATCCACAAAATTGGCGTTTCAATGTGTTTGAACCACAAAAAACCACGGAAATCTTACTATCCATTCATGAAATTCCGGTAGAAAATGTAGAAACAGGGCTGGTTTTAGTCCCTTTTTTCAGCCTTCCGAGATTTGTCCCGCTCCAATGCTCCATGATTCGGCTTTCGATCCAAGGATGAGATTAGCTACCGAGCTGTTCCTGGGCGATGAATCCTTTGAGAATGACGAAGAGTTTGCTATATGGTTATATATGGTTATATATGGTTAATGTTTGATAGCTATGGTTTAACAGTTTGCTATTGAAAATGGACTATGGTTATATAGTTGGCTACTATAACTATGGTTTATGAGTAGTATACAGTATATGGTTAATGTTTGATAAACTATGGTTTATGGCTACTATAACCATAGTTTCCCTTTGGTAATTTAGCAGTTTGCTATTGAACATGCTCCATAGAAACAGTTTATTTAACGTATTTAAAGATGGTGATTTCCTCCGTTCGCTATGTTAGAGTACCAGAGAGTGACTCTAATTTTACTGGTGGATCATCCCACTTAGTATACGTAGATTATATCCTTTTTTTCAGTGGGATATGTCGATGATCCATCAAGGAGGCTTTGTGATACCAATCAAAACAACTGGTTGGTGGTGACTGGAACATGAATGGAAAAAATGACTTTCCCATCTGAGAATAATGGGGATTATAGTGGTTTAACGGATTTTAATGGATGTTAATGGATTTTCCATAGATTGGGAATGCCATCATCCCAACAGATTTTCACTCCATCATTTTTCAGAGGGGTAGGTTGAAACCACCAACCAGTATATAATCCAACTAGTGAATTCGGGGGTTATAAACCAACTTATAACTGGGGAGTGCTCCACCTTGAATTTGGACCTTGAATGATTCATGTTGCCCACCGTAATCCATAAAGAATCCGCTATTAACCCAGGGATAAAGTGAGTTGTTGGGATTTTTTGCTGGTGTCTGCTGAAAAGACTAATGTTGGTTTTCCATTCTCTAAGTAGCAAAGATAAGGAGTTCCAGCGAAATGGAGAAGTTCACTGCGGAAAGGTCTACTTGATGATGGAATTTTCTGACTTACCTAGCAAAATGGAGGATTGCCATGGTTAAAGTGTATATTATATATATATATATGTTTAGCTGCAACAATGTACGGATTCCACCAGCAAATGGGGAGATCATTAAATTGCCAGTGTGGATTTTGCCAAGAATCTGCAAGGGATCTGCAAGTATGGAAGCAGCTTTTTATGCACTTATCGCAACAGGCTTTGATTTGTCATGAAGATATAAATCATCCGTCAGTGGGAGTAGAATTTCGGTGACGACTGGTGTTGAGGAGCCTCACCAATCGCTGTGTGGGGATGATGGCAACTGACTTGGCAACTGACTTGGGACTTCAGCTTTGAGGGATAATCAAACCAGAAAACTATGGTTTTTTTATGGTTTATAGTATGGTTAGCAGGATTCAAATGTGGTTGAATCTCCAAGTCAGCTGTTTATATTACTAACCATGAAAAAGAGAATCCAGTATCTCTCCAAATGGATATTCACTTGGATTACCCTCTGGTAAACGTTTACATAGCTATTGAAAATTGCCCAGTCGAAATAGTGAGTTTTCCCATGAATAGCATGGTGATTTTCCAGTTCGTTATGTACCGTAAACGTTTACCAGAGGGTCTCAGTCGAAATCTCTCCGTACCTCTCCGTCAGAGAATCTCGTCCCTTGAGGCAATGAGCGCTTGTCCCGGCTCAGAATGGCCACTGGTTTTGACCCTATTGGCCGCCTGGAACTTGACGTCAGAATGCCAGGAATGCCCGCGTTTCGACTGATACCCTCTGGTAAACGTTTACATAACGAACTGGAAAATGACCATTTTTCATAAATCCACTATTTCTATGGCCATTTTGAATAGCTATTTTGACATAACCAGAGGGTATCTTTCCGCAGAAACTCTCCGAGTTTCTCAACTCGGACCCATTCACCAAAAGTCCGAGACTAGTTTCAGATTTGTCCAAAACTAGGCTATACTATTTGCATCTATTTGCTATACTATGCTATAGCAACATGCCAAATGGCTATTTTCATAGGGAACATTAATCGGAAAGTGCTTGTCATCAAATTTTGGGGGCGCCATGCTATGGTAAACACATTAAAAGACTTCCAGTGTGTTCATAAATAGCACATACTTCTGGTTGGGGATGGTGGAAAATATCGGATTGATGATTTTGAGACACAGAGAACGTTCGAGCGATCACTTCAGCGGCTCTGAGGACATCATGAGCGAGTCAATGGTGGAAATTGGGGAAATCAGATCCTTGGCACGTCATGTTTTGTTTGTTTTCGCATGCATCATAGTAGCACAAGCTGGGGCCGGAAGTGACAGCTAAGTTGCTTTAAGTTCACTGAATTCTATAGTTACTATAGTTTGTGGCAGAGATATCAGGGTAAGTATATTTGCCTACATTGATCTATGGTTTATAAACCAGCTTTTAAGTGTGGGGCACCATTGCAGTTAGCTGATTCAAATCATTCATGTTATTTTCCCAGAAATTGGTTAAATAGTTAAATGGGAAATCTGCAGAAAAGAATCTGATAACCGATCAAAAGCCATGGTTGAGTGTAAACCGTCCCTTCCAGTGTTGCTAATGATCCCCAGTTTTCTGACCTCTTTTCAGTTCCAATGATAAAAGGCCAGTGTTTTTCTCGGCATTTGAGGTTTCAACGCCGCCTTGAACGCTTTGAGCGTAGCCCCTGCGGCCACGGACCAAGTTGCTTTGGAGCTGCTGCAGCGGATGGCTAAGCAAGAGGCGCAGATCTGCATCGTATCTTCCAAGGAAGGGAGGTATGCTTTGGGAGGTTTAGTCCCTTGGAAGGATCCATAGGGAATATTAATCTCAATGCTAAGTTATACTATACCTCCTGAAAATTCAGAGCAGAGAAAGTCGGGCGATGAGACTCAACGGTACAAAGGAATGTTCAAATCACATGTCATTCACTTGCATGTTCATGTGCTACCTTCTGTTAATTTGACATAGCCATGGAGCGTGACCCATTCGTTGATGATTTGCCAATTGATATTGCAAAATTTCTATGCTAGATTAGAGGGTCATCCACAATTAGCCTAGTCCACTGCAAGACTTGGTATGAAGCTAAGATAGAAGGGTAAGAGAAAACGTACTTTTGAGATTTGTTTGGGGTCACCATCATCCCCTTCTTACAGGCAGTGTTAACCCTGATTTTTAGATATTGATGAGGGTTGAAGATGATCTTATGGCTACCACTCCGGTTTCAACATGTTTCAACACATGTTTCAAGACATTTCAATCAAAAAAAGCTGATTGGTGGTTCGGAACATGTTTTATTGTCCATTTCATATATGGGATGTCATCCTTCCCATTGACGAACTCATATTTTTCAAGATGGTTAAAACCACCAACCAGATTCCTCTAGATTCCTCTAGATTCCTATAGTAGCTAGTCTAACCATGGGGATCTAACCATCCAACCAGAAAGGAATTTGACCAGTTAGTGAGATTTTAATGTGGTTTCATTGGGTTTCTAATAGGGTTTCATTGGGTTTCTAATAAGATTTATCATGTTCTTATTTCCATGTATGGACTATTTACCAACATGATTCATTTCTAGCTGGTTTCTGATGTCCCCGACCCGCCCGGACAACCCGGAGGTTGATCCAGACGCCGCACCTTCAAAGCGGCGGCCAACTGCTGTGAGAGAGGCAGCTTGCTTGCGGTGATGTGCTTGGAATATGTTGAAATATGTTTATAGTATTTTATAGTAACTTAGTAACCCCCCAAAAAAACAAAATGATAGAAAAATAACATGTTTAAGTTTGAGTCAAGTCTAGTAGCCCGTAACAGCGAGCACGATCTAGACCACGATTTTTAGCACGAAAAGAGCACCCGGAAATTCATAGTAAACCCAAAAAAAATAAAAGATGAAAAACAAAAATATACTATTGTGATTTGTTTTTGTTTGGATTGCTATAGGTCTAACGGCTGGAAATGGTTCGAATCTCGTGAAAATATAGTTGGACTATGGTTGAATATGATTAATTAGATAGATACATGATGATGTGCTGACGAACGAAAGGTACTATCTATTTGGATTCTGGAAAAGATATAACGACTTCACTGCGATGCCACTGGAATGATGGGAAATGTAGGGTAACTATCCCGAAATGGCCGCAGTTTTCAGGCTGATGAATTATTAGGATTTATCTAGAGCGATACAATTCACGTGTCTTTGTCCTGCAAAATTCCAATATTTTTTGGAAAGACCTCATCCAGTTTTGTTGACCGCATGTTTTTCCGGATCTGGTGTTCTTCGTTCAAAAAAAACGCTATCCATGTTGGTTCAAGAAGAGAACCCCTAGCCCTAGGATAGACCATTTGCTTTACACATGTTTATAGCTAGGCGAACTGAGATTTGTACGGATTTTCCTGATCTATCCGCTTTTTTAGATGGGCCTCCAAAGAGAGATTCCCTGCCGGCAGGTGGCAATGCCTTGCAAAGCCTGCCAGTCTTTCACCAGCTTGGGAGCGACTCGCTAATTTCACTTAATGTTGTTTTAAGTGGGACGGTGTCCCACCACTTTTCTGGTGCAAAAAGCCGATTTCACCATTCCCAAGTCATCAGCATTTTGATGGGTGGTTTTCCAAAAATCCCCAGTCATGATGTCATGGTCGATTGATGATGTTGATGTGGCATTGCCCACATCCCACTTTTGATGGTCCCTCTCCCATCTCCCCACTCATTAGTTGTTGGGCTTGGTAGCTGTGCTTCCCCGATGTCCATCCAGCCGAGGTTATGTCTCAGCACGGCTGAAGTCTGAAGTCTGAAGGATTCGCTGCGGGATTGGCCAAAAAAAGAGCTTTCGCCATCAAAATGGTGGTAGAATGGGCATACAATAGAATATTCATTGAATATCATGAAATATACATGGAATACTGGGGATTTAGCCTCTTCTAGTCTGACCTTTGAGGTGGTTTTACATAGCGAACTCTTAGGTCTTAGATTACCACAGAGGCTACTTTCGGGCCATTGTCATGTGAGTTGTGTTTTTCGGTTGTGGTCCACACGAATTCCTTGATATTCTGCTCCCAAAAACATGTGTTGAATGAATGTCATGAATGCCTTGTTACCGGGAATTTCTTGGAGCCATTTTCAACCAACGAAAAGGCACCAAGGACTATCAAAGTCTCCACCTGAGCAAGCTATGTGACCTTCATCCTGAAGGGCAATTGTCGCCATCCCAATTCCAAAAGGGTCAGAATCACAAAACCACCATGGTCCTATTGAACTTTGGTGTCCCAATTCCACAATTCATCATAATTCCATCTTGTTGGCCGAAATGGGGGCAAAGATTCCAACTGTTGAATGGTAGTGGATGGTTTCAAGAATATGGGATTGTATGAAAATAGGGCACCCCCCAATTAAAATTAAACGTTTGATCATTCTGATCATTATCCCCATTGGAGGGGTATACAACCCATTTTCAGACAGCTCCCCATATGTTTGGGAATTCCGCGTTTCGTCGCCAAAAACTGGAGGAAAATCCCGATCGACTAGCCGACTAGCTTGGAATGGGTTGTTGAACGTCAGCAGGGGATGTAGCAATCCACCTATTGTTGGCGAATCTCCCCATGTTTGTTGGTTATATCACGCAATATCACAGTCATCCCGAGTCATCCCTATGTTTTTAATGCATGGTCTTTGGAGACGTCATCTGGATAGAAACTATAGACCTATAGCCTCAATTGCAACATAAACCGAACTAACATATACGAACATGAATAATCAGAAAATATCAGAAACTAAAATTAATGCCTATAATGACTTCAAATGCTTACTTGGTGGATCATCCCACAAATCTTAAGTAGGTGATATCATGTGATATCCCTGTTTTTTTTATCCTTTTTTTCAGTGGGATAAGTCGGATGTTTCACCACTTATAATTGGGGTGAACTAACATGTTATAACCTACTTAGGACTTGAGGGATGCTTATAGCCTCAACTCGCACTTGACCCGTCCACTTTTCCCCGTGACTCAGGTCGCAGCCCACGAATTGGATCACAGCCCCAGTAGTGAGGAGCTCCTGGACTCATTGCCCCTGGGTTAAACATCGAAAATCGGTGGACAATCCCTGAAAATACACTATTTGTAGATCGTGTTCCTAAGGAAACCAAGGATTTTTCCACTACTCGTACGGTAGTTTACCCCGAGAGTAATATATTATTTGGTTTACATTAATGGATAGGCTGAATTTTCATCTCTTAATTGACATGTGATGGTTTCTCAATGTGGGAAAATGATGATTGACATTGATAAACTATCAAATGTTGGGTACCCGGGTACCCTGTCATCAAAAAGCAAAACTTGGAATTAGGGGGCGTCATCTGCAGTTTCAGAGGGTGTCAATATGATTCAGACCCCGAATTTTCTGGTGAGTCGTTACATGACTGGATGATTTTAAAGTTGTTGGTAAACATGCCTGCAAATACATGGTGTATATAAATCATGTGTACATATTATATAGTATATTAAAATTATATATTATATATATTATATTATATTATATATTATAGTATTTTATATATTATATTATATTATATATTATATTATATTACATTATATTATACATTGTTAAATATTATATATTATATTATGCTTTTTTTTTAATAATATTGTATATATTATATATTATATTATATATTATATTATACATTATTATATATTATATATTATATAATGCATATTTTATATAATATTGTATATATTATATATTATATGATATATTATATATTATATAATGCATATTTTATATAATATTGTATATATTATATATTATATGATATATTATATATTATATTATAATTTATATTATATTATATTATATATTATATATTATATATTATATAATATAATATATTTTATTATATATTATATTATATTTCATATTATATATTATATTATATATTATATTACATTATATTATATATTATATATTATATATTAAATATTTTTATATTATATATTATTTATTATTATATATTATATATTGTATTATATATATATTATAATATTATATATATTATATAATATTATATATATTTTATGTTATATAATATATTATTTAAGATATTATATAATATAATATATAATATATATAATATATATAATATATATAATATATATAATATATATAATATATATAATATATATAATATATATAATATATATTATATAATATATAATATCCATATAAACCCAAAGTAAAAGATAGGCAAAGCCTATCAACAACATGTGCGCCTTCTCCAGGAGAGCTTGATGGACGGCATCTTAGAAGATGTTGGGTTGGTCTTCCAGGGCCAGGGCATCATTCACGAGGATCGACTGTGTTGGTGGTCCTTGTGTTGGTGGTTGAGAACTAAGAAGCATATTTTTTTAATTAGTTAGGAATTATAGATCTATAATATAGATAGTAGTATTTTTTTAAATGCTGCTATATATATAATATGTATAATATATGTTACAATATGATCTATGATCTATGATCCGATTATAGATGATATATGATGATATAACCTTCTTAATTAGGGGACGAACCGGATCACCACTTACGATTCGTGCGATGACCCTTTGTAGTATGATGGATCAACCTTTCCATTTGGTTGGGTGGTACTTGACCTCAAATTGGTAGCTAACATCCCAACATGTCGTGGATTGCCAGTTGTGCCATTGTTTCTCTGGATGTGAACAGTGAGGACTCACAGGGTCTTGAACCATACTAATCTCAAAAACTGTTTGTTGGGATTGGGCCCACGTTTCTTTAGACCTGCTTGTTCGTATGTCCATCCCCTCAATAAGCTTCCACTTTCGCTGAAATCGCCCCAATCTCAAAGTCGTTGATTCTATCCCCCATCATGTGTGCTTCAGGATGTTGTTGAGATTATCATATGACATATGATACGCATACATATATATATATATATAGAGAGTCAACCATCGCGATTCAATTCCGTATATATCTTGCAAGTAGATAGATTTAAATACACATTATGATAATTATGATATCATATATTATAAGTGCTTTATAAACTATAAGTTCGAAATTGTCAAACAATATATGATTTATCTATGATATGACATTATTTCTTCCAAGAAACTGCGGGTAGGACCTGGACAAAGAACTGGACGACTCCTGGTTGGAAGAGGTGAGATGGGCAATCAGGTGATGTGAATTCGATTGTGATGGATGTATATATATCTGGGTAAATTATAACGACCTCACTGCGACCTCACTGGAATCATGTTTAGTATTGGAAATCATCCCCAAATGGCCTTATTTCAGGTTCGTGAAATATTATAATTAACCCAGATATATACTGTATATATTGTCTGGTTGGTGGTTTGGCACATGTTTTATCTTTCCATAATATATGGGATCATCCTTTCCATTGACTAATATTTTTCAGAGGGGTTGAAACCACCAACCAGTGTGTATATATATATACATATATATTGTATATGTGTATATGATGTAATGGGATTATAATGGGACGTAATGGGATTGTAATGGGATAGAACGACCTCGCTGCGACCTCACTGGAAATGATGGTTAATGAGGGGAATCATCCCCAAGTGGCCTTAATTCAGGTCAGTGAAATATTTCTAATTGACCCAGATATATGCTTGTGATTATGGGATATGACGGGATATTATGACATATGGTGGGATATTATAGGATATGATGGGAGGATGGGGGGAACTTATGAAAAATGTTGGATCTAATTGTGAACCATTGTGATTTGACTATACTTTAATTAACCAGTAAAATAGGATATACAAGGGATATGGATGTGTACATTTCTACGTGGTGGGATGCAAACATGGAATGATCGTTGATTCAAAGAACAAGTCTGTCACAATGTAAATAAGTATTTCACAATGGAATGACAACCATATTTAACCAACGGGCATACCCAGAAATAGACAAATACTTGTAGAGATAGATATAGCCAGCAAACATGAAGGGTTATCTCTATGATATTGATGTTTTATAAATTTGTATGTGTGGAAAACATAAACAATGGGATAGATAACCAACAAAAATGATGGAATAGATATCCAGTCACAGCAAGATAAATGAACATATTCTAGAAATAATGGGATATCATCGAATACCATATGTGGGCATTGATATAGTTCATTGCGGCATAGATTTCTATGCGCTGTGATATTGTTTCTAAATCATTTTTTGGGTACCCCTATCATGGGATCAAAGGATTTTCCATGAAACAAACATCAATAAAACTATTGGGCTAGCACCATGACTACGGCAACCCCCATTTCTATCCCCATGTGATTCGACAAAAAGGTCACCTTCCGATAGGATGGCCGTTTTGAAACAAAGACATTCGCGAATTCGTAAAGTTGTGACGTGACGAAAGTTGTTGACTCTAAAATCAAAAATTGGATGAACCCAGATTTTTTATGGAAAGATATTTGGAAATACAATGGGATAACCAACATTGACTGGGATGTAATTGGAAGGAGGCCAGAAATGTTAAATGGGATCGAACCAAACCAAATGGGGAGATCAGCAACAACTCATCGGATATGGTTGGATGCCAGGGAATGGCAAATGTACCTGCATGTTTTGGGAGGTGTGTGACTCCCATCGACTGGAAAAATTGGAATGGCCATGTCTATGTATGAACAAATCTACCTGGAACCCAAATTGCTGGTTCATTTTTTGATGGTTACATTCATTAGGTAAAACCAACCGAAGTCAAATTTAGTTCCTGACATGCAGAATCATGCATTTGTTGTTATACAATTGTATGTGTCTATATTATGTAGTTATA